ATGGTGCCGTTGTTCTGTGAATAATCCCACATTCATTCATGAAGTTTTTGAACTCTTGAGAAACAAACTGTCTTCCATTATCTGAAACTAGGATGTGAGGAAACCCAAAAGTTGAGAAGATTTTCCGTAATTCTTGGACTGTCCATGTACTTGTAGTTGTTTTTGTCTGTATCACATCCACCCACTTACTAAAGGCATCCACTAATATCAGGTACTGTTGGCCATCTGTTGGTCCTACGAAATCAATGTGCACCCTCTCCCATGGATTAGAAGGTTGTTCCCATGGATGGATAGTTTTCCTCGGGTTGTTGCATTTTTCAATGCATTGTCGACATTCAGTTACCATATCTTCAATATCCTTGTCTATACTTTTCCACCAGCAAAAACTGCGAGCTAAAGCCTTCATTTTTATTCCTCCTAAATGAGCTACGTGTAGTTCTCGAAGCACATGAGGTCTGAGAGATTGAGGTATCATGACTCTCCAGCCCTTCAGTACACAATCATCTTGAATGGACAGCTCGTTATCGTGAAATCCGTATTGTTCAACAGATTGTCCCGATTTCAAGGCCTGTAGGACTGGACCCAAAACAGCTTAGCTCGTTGAGAGTTTCCTTAGCCACCACGGTACTGTTGATATTGAGTGTTTCCAGTTGATTTATGTGGTACTTCGAGAGGTCATCTACAGAATGTTCTTGTACAACTTCGATAGGGAATCGAGAGAGATAATCTGCATTGCAATGATGAGCAGTTTGCCTGTACTCTATGTCATAGTCGAACCCGGAGATAAAGTGAGCATAGTTGAATATCCGTGTTGCCGAGATTGTTGGTAAGGTCTTTGCTGGATTAAAAATTGAACGGGTCCTACACCTACCGGCGAAGCATCAGTAGCTAAGACCAGTGGCAAGCTAGGATCAAAGTGTACCAACACGTCATCACTTGTAATAATTTCTTTAATCTTCAGAAAACTCTGTTCACAAGCAGAGCTCCATGTAAAAGTGTTTCCTTTTCGTAGCAGCCGATTCAAAGGATGTAGCAGTGTAGCTAAATTCTTTATGAATTTGTTGTAATAATTCGCAAGGCCTAGGAAAGTTCGGAGTTCAGTTACGTTCTCTGGTCTTTTACATTTTAAAATGCTCTGTATTTTAGCATCTGACTTGTGTAGTCCTTTGCTATCGATCACATGACCTAAGTACTCAATTTTGTTCTGGAAAAACTTACATTTCTCTCTATTTAACCTCAAATCATTTAACTTCAATCGTTCAAACACCTGTTCCAGTCGGCGGAGAAGCTGTTCCCTGTTAGATCCTTGGACAATTACGTCGTCAAAGAAACATTGTACGCCTTCTAAGTTATGTAATGTTTTGTCCATGAATCTTTGCCATAACAAGGGTGCCACTTTTACTCCAAACATTAATCTGTTCACTTTAAACAGCCCTTTGTGAGTACTGATTGTTTGCATGATGGCACTGTCTTCGTCCATCTCCATGTGCAAGTATGCGTTACTGATATCAAGAGTACAAAATATCTTTCCACAATGCATCTTTGACATGATATCATCAATCCGAGGTATAGGGTAATGTTCGTCTTTAATAACTTTGTTCAAAGTCACCTTGTAGTCAGCACATATTCTGACTGAACCATTGGGTTTGACAACCGGCACAATAGGTGTGCCCCAATCGGATGATTCGACACGTGTGATTATACCCAAAGTCTCCAGTCTTTCAAGTTCCTTCTCTACTTTTTCTTGTAATGCATATGGCATGTGTCTAGGTTTGATGTAAATTGGCTGGGTTTCGTCTTTTACATTGAAATGGCCCTTTTCTTTTGGTATTTTCCCAATGCCTTCTTTGAAAATGTCTTCGTATCGAATCATCAAATCATCTAGTTCTTGGATGTTTTCGTTTTCACTTGAATTTAATGAATGTATGTCAGCTGCATCAAGTTGGATCTCTCTTATCCATTCTCTTCCGAATATAGAGTCTACACACTTGTTAACAATGTACAGTTTTCCAACAAAACTTTGATCTTTATACTGAACATTTACAAAAACAACTCCTCTTGGATTGATTATTTCCCCAGTGTATGTCTTGAGTTGAACATTTGTCTTGAAAATCCTTTTTGGAGAGTTTAAAAGCTTAAATGTATCGTATGATACAATGCTGAGAGCCGCTCCTGTATCTAACTCCATTGTCATGAGTCTTCCTTCCACTTTTACCTCGAGCATAAACTTGTCATTTGATTTTGAATGAAGTTGGTAAATTTCATGAGTGTCATCATCGCTTGTATTTTCTGTGGTTTCATCTGATTGTTTTACTTCTTTCTTTGGTTTTCTTAGACATACTCTTGCTAAGTGACCAAAACGTTTACAAGAGTTGCATTCTGCATTTTTGAACTTGCATTGATGTGCTGTATGTGAATCATCACCACATCTATAGCATTTGTTTCTCAGTTTCTCCAAACGAGTTTGATACTCAGAGAGTTGTATATTGTTAGATTTACAAGGTTTCCTATCTGGCTGTTTGTTCTTGCTTGATACTTGGTGTACTTCCTCTTGATTTTCATTTGTCTTTACTATTCTGCTTTCACTTTTCGCTAGTTCCAATGTAGCAGCCTTTTCGACTACTTCTTTAAACGGTTGCAATAGTTTATCTTGAAGAAGTTGAAGACGTATATCAGAGTCTTTTAATCCCCTGACAAACTGCATTCGAAGTAGAATTTCAGATACAGATTCATTACAACTTGTACAAGTAAACTGACATTCTACACTGAGCTTTCTAAGAGCATTAGCGTAAGCTTGTACAGATTCATTACACAATTGGGTACGGGTCGTAAATTTGTGCTGACGTGCCCAAATACTGGGTTTTGGTTCTAGTTGAGCCATTAACATGTGAATCAATTCCTCATATGGCTTGTTATGTGGGTCATCTGGTATGCAAAGATCGTATAGCTGTTCATGTATTTGTGGGGTGATTGCCTGTAAAAATAAATCCACTTTGACTCTTGGACTTAAGTTTCCCCGTAATTTTGTGTAGTTTTCAAAGCGTCGAGTGAAGTTTTGAAAACTTTCCTCTGGTGTATACGGCTGGAAAGGAATATTAGATACATTTTGACATGTTGCAGAAGCAGAAATTGCTGTATGTGTATCGTACTTTTTCTTTTCTGCTTCAAGGAATGTCCGTATCCCTCTATATATTTCTTCTAACTGCCATCGAATTTCTAATTCACTTTCTACTGAATTTGTGTGAAGTTCAATATTTGACTGTGTAACCTCAATTTCAGCCCATATTGCTAAAAGTTTATCTGTGTAGTAAGTGCATGTATCTTGAGAATGTTCACATGTTGGTAAATCATCCTTGAGTTTGATCAAGCGTAGTTCTAGTAATTTCCTTTTCTTTAGACATAAGTCAAATTCTTTTCTACTTACCATTTTACTCGTCGCCATTGTTGATTCCACTAATTTTAGTAATAAAAAATTCACATTTTATATAAGAAAATAGAAGGTAAGTTTTTATTAAATCACAATCTGTAAGTAAACATAACAATTCAATAAGTAAACAAAATAATAATTTGAACACATGTTAGAAATAAAATGTAAATAAAACATATGCTAACAAAACTAAGCTATCTCGTATTAATAATTGAAAGTTAAATTCACAACCACTAAGCTCCAAAATTGTGGAAGCTAATACTCTCACGGTTTATCTACGTTATATGACTTTAAATTTTGACTTTAAATGACGTCCGTACCGTGGGGTGCGTGCACTGGGACAGCACGGACGTCACGGACGCCGCGGAATTGTCCTGAGATTCGCTCCTCCGATCTTTCTGACAGATGTCGGTGGCGGCGGTGGCGTCCGTGACGGCCGTGCCGTCCTAGTGCGCGCACCTCCATTACATTATATGGGAACGACTTTTGGAAAAGGCCGGCCGTGACGGTGCAGTGTGCGCGGGGCTTTATATTCTGTGGTGTCTGTCTCTGCTCTATAGTCTGTACCACTGTACACTACATCCTTCTGCTTGTCCCCTAGTTGTCTGTCACTGTCACTGTCACTACTGTCAGTTCAGTTGTCGTCGTTGTCGTACGACGGCGCTGAAGGGCCACCAACTATAAAAAAATATTTTTCTTAATCTCTGAGAAAAAACTTAGAATTCTGAGTTTAAAGTCAGAATATAACATGTGGGCGTTCCACTCTGAGATTAAAGTCAGAATTCAACTAGTGGACGTTCCCCTCTGAGATTAAAGTCAGAATTTAACAAGTGGGCATTCCTCTCTGTGAAAGGAGTTAGAATTCTGAGATTAAAGTCAGAATTGAATTGTGGGCGTTCCTCTCTGGGAAAAAAGTCAGAATATAACTAGTGGGCATTCAACTCTTAAGTCAGAATTGAACTGTTGGCGTTCCTCTCTTATTGCAACGATATTATCAGCATATCGATGCTACAATCCCTACTATTTTAGACAAAAGAAATAATATAAATATCATTTCTGTTGTCTATTCTACTGTGTTCTTCTACTTGTAACGTTGCCAATTCTACCAGGCCGCGGCCTGGAGTTAAAGGTGGCCGTGAGAAGAGTACAGTAGAGTATGTATAGTAGCATAGACTAACCAACGAGGGAGTATGTTTTATCTATGATAGTAGCATGGTGGAAGGAAAAAAACAGTTGTTTTTTCCTTCCACCATGTGATAGTAGCACGGCCGCATTGGTGGCCGCATTCTTACGTTAATCTCAGAGATGAACGCCCACAATTCAATTCTGACTTTAATCTCAGAATTATAACTCCTTTCACCGAGAGGAACGCCCACTTGTTAAATTCTGACTTTAATCTCAGAGGGGAACGCCCACTAGTTGAATTCTGACTTTAATCTCAGAGTGGAACGCCCACTTGTTATATTCTGACTTTAAACTCAGAATTCTAAGTTTTTTCTCAGAGATTAAGAAAAATATTTTTTTTATAGTTGGTGGCCCTTCAGCGCCGTCGTATTGTCGAGTTGTCACTTGTCACTCTTGTCAGTTCTCTCGTCTCCACTCTCCATTGTCCGATATTTTATTGTTTCTAACCTAAAATAAGTAAAACACCCAAACCTTTGCTAACAAGTTTATACATTTTAACTTGTAGTATTGGACAATGGCTAAAAATACATCGAGTTCAGCTTTCAGAAAGCTTGACGTCGATCAGTGCAATGAGGATATTTACAGGGAAGAAGAGCAAGGAGAACTGCAGTCTCCACCTGTGGGACCAGATGAGTCAGAAGTTACTTCACTTCTAAATCAGTATCCTTAAACAAATTGCCTGGTTTTAGTTTTAAAATTTAAATTATTCAGGATCTAAATACGATGAATTTACCCTTCCTTGTACTAAGTTTAAGCTTATTTAATTTTTACCATGAATTATTGAGTAGGTAACCTAAATTAAGTTTCCCTAATGTTTACTTGGGTCTACTGCAATATTTTACAGTTAGGCCTACCTCTACAGGTATCTCCTACTTTATTTATCTTTCTATAGTTCATTAAATAGCTTAATGTTAGTATCATTGCTTCCTCAAACTTAGCATTGTAAGCTTAGGCCTAATAAGCTACGTTGGCCCAACTTTTGACACAATTCAAATTTGAGAATGAGGATGAGAATTTTATTTGCTCTCTTAAACATGCAGTTACATGCAATCACACAAGTCATTTATAATAGTAGTCCAAGCAAACTAAACAAACTTAGGCCTACATAGGGATTGTTAAAAAAATTGCAAGAAAACGTTTTAGGGTATGGTTTTATTTTGTAGAGTTGGGTTTGCAGAATGACATACTAAAAGTTGCCTAAAATCGGTGCACGAGAAAACCACTAAAATCACAATTTAAAATGGCGGCTTTTTCCAACATTGGGCAAACTAAAAAAACACATTTCACATGCATTTGTTATGCACATTTTTCGAGATATTGACTTGGGACCACCGCCTGTATTTATTGGGTGGTTAGTACTTCCTTTTGATAGGGAACATGTTTTTAGCCGCCATCTTGGATCCACCATATTGGACATAGATAATTTTTTTTCAATGTTATGATAGTGTTGTGACACATCATTACCAACTACATTTTTACACTGAGTTCAATGCCGAAATCCGTTTTTAAATATCTTTATTCATTTAGAAGATGTATGCAAACGAAAACTCTCCACCATACATTTCTTATGGATGTTTCTTAGTTTGATAATTGTTTTAAAATTATTTTTCTTATATCTCCAGTTCTTATTGACGCTTGTAGGCTCAAAATATTCAGTTATGTAAGGGCTTTCATTTGAGCTCTTGATCATTAAAATAAGACGAGTTAAAGACCAGCTACGAACCTCAGAACAATATTAAATTCAACTTTATAAAAATATGTTTTTATTAAAAGATTTATAACTCGGGTTGTTAATACGTCACAAAGTTCTTTCTGGTCTCAAATTACTCAGTGAATGTTTAGCTTTGATTTTATTAATCACTAAACAAAATCTGACAATTTTAAAACGAGTCATGGTTCTTAATTTAACATTAAAATGTATTTATTTTGAAATTTGTCTTTAGTTAAGGACATATATTTCAAACTCTAATAACTCCCGGAAAGTAATCCATAGCTAAAATAAAAGTCAATAATTTGGCGAATTATTTAAGACTATAAAGAGTTTTGGGAGTTATTTAGAATTGGGGATATACGTCTTTAACTAAAGACAAATTTCAATATAAATACATTTTAATGTTTAATTATGATCCATGACTCATTTTAAAATTGTCAGATTTTGTTTAATGATCAATAAAATTAAAGCCAAACATTTACTGAGTAATTTGAGACCAGAAATAACTCTGTGACGTATTAACAACCCGAGTTATAAATCTTTTAATAAAAATATATTTCTAAAAAGTTAAATTTAATATTGTTCTGAGGTTTGTAGTTGGTCTTTAACGCGTCTGATTTTAATGATCAAGAGCTCAAATGAAAGCCCTTACATTACTGAAGAATTTGAGCCTAGAACAAACTACAAGCTTCAATAAAAACTGGAGATATAAGAAAAATAGTTTTAAACAATTATCAAACTACGAAACGTCCATAAGAAATGTATGGTGGAGAGTATTCGTTTGAATATATCTTCTAAATGAATAAAGATATTTGAAAACAGATTTCGGTATTGCAATCAGTGTAAAAATGTAGTTGGTAATGATGTGTCACAACACTATCATTACTTTGAAAAAAATTATCTATGTCCAATATGGCGGCCAAAAACATGTTCCCTAATAAAAGGAAGTACTAACCACACAATAAATACAGGTGGTGGTCCCAAGTCAATATCTCGAAAAATGTGCATAACAAATGCATGTGAAATGTGTTTTTTTAGTTTGTCCAATGTTGGAAAAAGCCGCCATTTTAAATTTTGATTTTAGTGGTTTTCTCGTGCACCGATTTTAGGCAACGTTTAGTATGTCATTCTGCAAACCCAACTCTACAAAATAAAACCATAAAACGTTTTCTTGCAATTTTTTTAAGGTCATATCCTATATTTCTCCGACTATAGGCTAATCATCTGGCAACAATCAGTTAATTTAGGAGTAGGCCTAAGCTTTTAACTTACAGTTTTGAATTTAAATTATGAATAACTTACAGGGGGACAGTTCCACAGACAACTTGCAATATATTATTGGATGAATTGATAAATATAACAATACCTATTAATTTATTTGGTTTGATTATAATATTGTATTAGGCCTAGCGAATTATATAGCTTAAATAGATTTTCATACAGTTATCTGACAAAATGGCCTTCCTTGTACTGATTAAATTATAGCACAGAAAGTTGCTAATTGCTGCATTTACCGTACATAATGTAGCCTATTTTTGCCACACTCTTTTTACTTTTAAGTAAAGCACTTTTTTACTTTTTCTCCAGTATCCCAACCAAACGTAGCATAAGTGTAGCGTTTACTTTTTTACTTTTTTTTCCAGTATCCCAACCAAACGTAGCATAAGTGTAGCGTTTCCCATTTTGTTCAATGTTTAGATTTAACATTTAACCTAACCTAAAAATATGTTGTACAGTGTTTGAAAGACTAATTATTTATATGATTTATAGGCTAACTGTAGGGAAAATATAATGTGTAAGTTAGCATGATTGCAAACTGCTTTGCTGCACTCAAAAAACTGTCACCACTCGCCTACGGCTTGTGCGTAAACATTTCTCTCATGTGCCCACTAGTTACACAAATAACTAAGTTATTTAGGCTATCCTTAGTTTTTTCTTAGATATTATTTAAGAATGAAATGGGAGAAACCACTTACAGTTTTTTTATTTCTATGTAGTTACCATATCAACAGTATTGAGTTGAAAACATTTTTTGGTTAAGATATTGTTAGTTTTATTTATTAAAAAAGATGTGAATAAAAACATAAACAAATCATTACCTAATCAATTTGATGTTTAAATTGAGGGAAATAATCAACAATATTTTGTTATCGACTTATTGAATCCGGATCAATAATAATATTCGGTCTGTAAGTTATGTACATATAATATATTACATATTATAATAAGGTTAAGGTTGTTCATCATATGATATATTATAGGTTCTCTGCTGAGTGCTGGGGTACCTGAATACTGGCCTAACCAATTTTTTAAACCCTTCAATAATATTTAGGTAAATCTGAGTCTCCCCAGTCCTCTAGAGTTAGTTAAGCTTCCTCAAAAAAGGTCAGCAACAGGTTTCAGCAATGTAAGTTAACCCTCCCAGTGTTACTTGACGAAAATTCGGCAAGCACCACACTTTGTATAGTGTTACTTGCCGATTTTTCGACAAGCAGACATCGTTTACGGCAAAGGCTCTATAACTGACTGAATCGGATTGAACTGGATCGAGTTAGGTATCGTTCTTTCCGTTACATTCTAAGCTGTCTCCAGATGTCTGTCTCTAAGCGCTATTCATTTTAGTTCTGAAAATATTGTAGCAGACAGCTGACGTGCGTGTATTTGTAAACAGCTAGGTTCCCCCGGACCGATGACTGATGTGTTTTATTACGTTTATCATTGTTTTAGTGTTAAAAATCAAAAGTAGTGATATACGTGGTGCATTATAAGAAGATTTAAGTGGTTTTGAAGTGCTGGTTGATGATCCTGAAGAAGTAGGTAGTGATATTGATGTAAATTATCAGCCAGATTCCTAGCTATGGTTAGGCTATGCATTCTTAGCTAAACGCTATGTACTGAAATCAGTTTTTTGCCCATAACTTATTTATTTGCAAATATACTTCCTTATATTATTATATATTTGTAATCCTCATAAAATTTAGAACAAAGTGGCTATTTTCAAATATTTATAGGCCTATAATTTATACAATTTCATTAGGCGCAAACTTATTTTTTTTTTGAAAATTTTCGAAATTATATTTTTTTTACCTAAAAAATTTTTTTTTTTTTTAAATGTTCCTTATGTTTTATATATAATATTGAAGCCCATGATTTTCCAAACAAAATGGTATATAGAACATTAGAATTAACATTGTTTTAAGCTTCTCAGATCCGTTTTAATAAAACCTTGCAAATGTGCCAAAAATAGGTGGACATTAAGGCCTAAACTATGGACACTTGGAGGGTTAAAGAAGCAGTAACTAAGAATGGTCCTGCTAGTTTACTACTGTAGTGTCAAATACTCTTAGGGCCGGTTGCTGAGCTCCAGATCTATAAGTCCTGGACTTAATGAGTCCAGGACTCAAATAAGCTCTCGGATCTAAATCGTCTTGTTGAGACGCGGATCTATCTCTGAAACTCCAGGATCTATAAGTCCTGGACCTATTTGAGTCCAGAACTTAAAGCAATAAAGATTGAGGGAATTGTAGAGTATTTGGCGTTGTGATGTTGGCAATGGGTGACAGCCGAGCCGGGCTGTCTGCTCCGCGCTTCGTAAACAATAGACATCACCCCACGATACATACTCGCGATTGGCTTGGCTAATGCTAGAATTTCAAAGTGACACTTTCTTCAAAACTACTTATATCGTGCGTTTTTGGTCACTTTTGACAGTTAGACCTATCAGCTGAAAGTGACGGAGAGAGTGACAACGACCGAATCATAATATATATATATTTTTTTTCAATTAAATTGAGTGGCAAACTTATTATTTTAATTTTTTTTAATATAGGGTCGTAATATTTGTAACGAAAATATTATAGTTAGAGGTAATGGCTGAGAAAAGCGTTATAATAAGGTTAAAATAAAAAATCAATGCAAATTCAGTTAAATGCGATTTGGAGTACCACAAAGGTCAATACTAAGCTCATGTTCATTCATAATATAAATTAATGTTTTTAGATAAATTATGTTATTAGACCAATTATTATTTTTATAAATTATTATTTAGATAAATTATATATATTAGATAACCAAAATTGAAAAGAGTAGTTTTATAATGTGTTGATTATTCTAATTTAACAATTTCTGGGTAGGTGCAAACTCACAAAAGACTCAATTTACTGGAAACTATTTAAATGTCAAAACTTGTAGAGCCGAAATAGTATAGCTTTTGTACAGGAAATACAAATGATATGGTCCATGTTATTTTTTCAACATAAAATTCAGCATGAACAAAAAATTGGCCCTAAACAAACACAACATATAAACTAAAACTAAAAATACCAGGTCTGGGACCTGTTTCATAACAAAATACAAACTAATAATATTAGTCTTGTTATTTGTAAAACTGAAATTGTGTTTTATAACAGGAAAATACTAACTTACAAGCTACACAAATTACAAAATAAAGTAATATTGTATGCTTGTACGTCGCCTGGCCCAAACATTTTCAAATTTGTAAAATGTTTGAAATCAGTTCAAATAGACACGTATCCACTCATGAATAGTACCAACCCTAACACCAACTTGAAAAAAGTAATCTAAAGGCAAAGTGGCTAACAGAAAAACTTTTACAGTTAGGAGAGGGTAAAATTGGGCTATGGACTTTGTAAAATGTGTGTGGTATAGAGTTTGTGTAGAAAATAAAATGTAAATATAAGGTTAAGTATTGTGTATATAGTTCTTGTGTTTTTGTATATAGTTAAATCAATTACATGAATAATATTTTAATTACTATTTATATTACATACTCTTTTTCCAAGTAGATTTTTGTAAATTATAAATATGGTTACAAATGGGACTGGTCGTATATACTGAGTTAAAAGTGTAATATGTAATGTTTTAATAAGCCCATGATAAAATACTATATAGTACAGTCGTAGTAAACGTTTAATATAGTACATAAGTGCATGTCGCATTTAAGTATGAGTGAGTACTACTATTAGTTCACAATCGAGTATGATATTCAATAAGAATGGAAGTCATAACTCTAACCCATTCGACTCTGCATGTTGGGTGTCTCAAACTACTTATAAGATAGAGCAGGAATTACATTTACTAAAATTTACTACAAGGATTTTTCTAAAACAATGTTTTATTGCAATATGTAAAAATTGAAACATTGTCACTTTTGTAAATTAACACATCGGTTTCGTAGTAAAAAAATCACGGGCAAACAAATATTCCTTTTTGTTAGCAGATGTTTGTCAATAAAAAAAAATATAGGATGTCTTAAATTATCAATTCCAGTTTCTAGGATGATACATAATATGGATGCCTAATATATACGTCCTAATATGATGATGATATAACGCGCAAACAAGGTTAATACACTCTGTTAAGTCTAGAATCTAATTTAAATCCTGCCCTTGCCGAGGATCTAAAATCCTAGTGTTTTAAGTTCTGGACTTAAAGGATTTTACTAGATCCTTGTCTCAGCAAGAGACGAGAATCTAAGTTAAGTTCTGGACTTATAGGTCCTTGTCTCAGCAAGTCAATTTTTAAACTCCAGAGTCTAACCAGCCAAATAAACTCCGGAGTCTAATAAGTTCTGGACTTCGTTAACGCCCTATCTCAGCAAGCCATTTTTTAGACTCCAGAGTCTAAAGCCGGTTTAAGTCTAGAACTTAGCTAAATCCCGAGCTCAGCAACCGGCCCTTAATATTTTTTTCCTTAACCCATTCTGACAGAGGGCGACATATTGATGCCCTTAAAACAGTTCTTCGTAATGCACCAGTGGGCTCCAAGAATCAACAGATTAAGGTAAGTAACTAAAGATTATCACCAGGCCTTAACATGTTTGCCATACTCTTCCCAAGAATCTTAGAATTAAAAACCCCATTGATAAGCTAAATCTTCTTGAATTTGTAGGACCCATAAGAGAAACAGTAAGCTTACATAAAACATATCATGTCATTCCTAATCTGCAAAGTGTCCTTTATTGGTTCTATATCAAAATCTTTGTAGGTGGCGGCGTGCAATTTGAATGAGACTAGATCTCGGGTCCAACAGTTTGGACAATCCTTTGGAAAACTGTCATTAGCTCATGTTCTGAAACTATCACTTGTTCTTAGTTAGGCCTACTCCAGTAAAATTTTGTTTTTTGGTTAGCCTACTAAATCACAGCATTTTTTCTAGGATAATGCCTTGAGCATAGCATTGCGAGTACTGCTATCAATAAGGTCATCACAGATTGAAGAGGCTGTGGCAGCACTAGACAGGGACCTTGTTGATACCCTCATGAAATACATCTACCGAGGGTTTGAGATTCCCTCAGAAGGAAGCAGCGGACACTTGCTCCTGTGGCATGAAAAAGCATTTGCAGTCGGAGGAGTTGGCAGTATTGTCAGGGTGTTGACAGACACGAAGCGTGCTTGAGTCACAAGCATTGGCTGTAATGGATCTTTACTGACCAGTGTTTGGTACTGTATTTGACCTTAATGTGTGATAACTCCAAAAAATAAATCTTAGTTGATTAAGTTCTTAGAAGTATTTGACAAAATTGGTTCATTTAGCCTATATCACTAGAATCAACAACAATGTAAATGCCACCTACTACTGGGAGTGAAATGTCCATTCCCAGCCGGTTTGGTTCTTTTACTTATATTTCCACTGCCATTCAGACAACAAATAAAGTAGGTAAAATGAAAACATATATTCAATGTTTTAAGAAATCCAGGATGGTTTTATAATAATTGGTGTCTAATAAGCTATTTATTTGTTTATGGGAAGGAAATGTTGTATGATTTAAAAATTAGCAATGTGAAGTATAAGGCTAGTTGGGAAATACATAACTTGTTTTTAGTCAACTTCAATATTTTGCACAGTGAAACTTTATATAAGCCTACTTTAAAAAAGTATTGGTCAAAAATGCTGTCTCACATTTAACTGTTTTTTTTATAATTCTTCTTCTTCAAGAAGTGGATTTTGGATACTGTACCATAATATTCATCAAAATTATGTGCATTTTTGGAGCTATCATCATTAAGTAAAGATCGTAGTCATTTTAACGAGATGTTTTGTGAGGTGCCAACTCCATTTTGATTATTTATTGTATCCCTTTTAAGATAAGTTTGTGCATTTAATATGATTGATTTTGAAAAGTTTATTATTGAATAAAATAATTTGTACAGCTTTATTTTATTTGATCCGATTTTACTTTCTCCCCCTATACTACCTATAGTATGCAAAAGTATTGTTTTTTTTCAACATTTTCAAGTTTGAGTGAATATGTCCGTTTTGGGTTCCCTGGACCCAAAAAATTGGTTTTTGAAGTAATGTCTGTGTGTGTAGATGTGTACAGAGCTACAGACCACACCGATGGTCCAAATTTGATGAAATTTGGGATGTAGGTAGGCCTAATTCATGGTATCTCCAGGAGTTATTTCTTTTTTTTTTAAATTTTGATTTAAATGGTGATTTTTTCATAAAAACCAATAATTTTCTTAAAAATGGCCCAAATGATTTTGATTAGAATTTAGTACCGTATGTATATAACATACTAAATTCTTATCACTTTAATTTCATTAAATTCTGAACAAAACTGTATAACCTCCATTTTTGTAACAATCACAGTTCAAAAGTTATTGCAACTTAAATTTTATTTGCCCATAAAATTACAGAAAATCGGATTTTCGAAAACAAAAATCCGGTATGATTTAAATTAGCATATTACGGTCCTTATAAATAATTCTAAACAAAATAGTGCAACCCCACCCCATTGTTTTAAAAATTACGGTTCAAAAGTTATTGCAACGTTTTTGACTATCCCTATAAAATATCAGAGTTATTCCAACGACTTACCCACGATAAAGGTTGTTGACAAGCTAATGGGAGAAAGTATGTGTCAGATTGCTAATACCGTTTTTTTTTTTTTTATACTGTCTCCTTTTAACCTTTAGACTTAAATATGTTTTTAAAATACTTTTCAATGAAATGGTGACCATACAAAGTTGGTATATTAAGTGAAGTATGAATGGAGATGAGTGTAGGATAAGTGGCACGATCGTGTAGTATTGTTAGTGACTAAGGCCGACATTCCTTAGACACAGCTGTTAATTAATAGCCCATACAGCTAATGGCAGCTAAGGGAACTACAGTTTATAGTGGCAAAAAACCACATTTTTGCCTTAGTATATATAATCCCTGAATAACATAAGAAGGCAACCAAGTAATTGGGTATGGAACAAAACTTTGTTGCTTAATGCCTATCAAATTGGTGGCAACAAATAATCTTAGGTATGCCCAAATAAAGCTTATAATTCTCAAATTATTTTCTATAATAAAATTATGATTCAGGTTTGTAGTTGCAAACAAACCCTTTGTACCTAAGTGGTTTTGTCGTACAGCACCAAAATTGAAGTGTTTTAAAACATGCTCTGATGGGATGGTGTTATTTTTATTTTTAACAGTATAGGGAAAAAGAAAATCAGCTGAACGGGATGAGATTTCAGATCCCAAAATGTTGAGAAATCTTTATTTTTTTTACTAAAATTTTGATGGAAAATTATTGCAACGATCCTTAAATTGACAACATCAGATGGAGTCAAGAACATCTATATTTTTCCCCTTATTAACTTGAATATTGAAAATTAACTTCTGCATAAATTATTGATCCGCTGATTTTGGTCGATCAAATGGTTCAATTTCAAACTGTTTTATTACATTGTTATTTAGTACTTGACTTCATCATTGATTTACTCTAAGGGCTTAGTGACAAATCTTTGTTCTTTGATCCAAGCAATGTTGTTTTGTTAGTAAAGCTTATCCAGAATTTCCTCCTTCAAACTTATATTTTCAACAACTTTCTGTTAACACGTTCGCTGCGGGCCATCAAATGGCAGGCGTAGCCTCAGCGCGGCGCAGCCCGCAGCGTCGAACAAACCCGATTGCCGTGTGTTTGGCTCTCATATTTCGGTATGACGAATAGCAAATAACGTGCGGTGATGTCCTGTTTTATAACAAGAGTCGACGTAGTTCACTAAACACTCACATATAGCAGCACTGCTTGGAACGTAGCCGGTCCCATCGTATTGCCAATTGGAGGGAGAAAGACGGGACAAGTTGATTTTTAAGTTTGCCAGACGGGGATTTTATGGGGACATTTTACTACCAACCTACAACACAACAAAAAGCAAGTCACCCACTACACGCTAACGTGGAATTGGTCTGCCTTCGACCGACGCTAGAGCAAAAACGATGATATACGAAAGGCATTGCCGAGCGTATCCGATCGGTTACGGCAGCGTCTGAACAGCGCTCGGCCCGTATCCGATCGGATACGCCCGCAGTGAACGTGTTAAATAAATTAGCTTTGATTTACAAATTAATAGTTATCCTATTATAAGTTATACATTATAAGTGGTTGAGAAATTAATTTCACTCTGTTTTGTTTTTCCCAAGCTCAAAAAACCCAAAAGCATGATATTGTAATATTTAGGAATACAGTTTTCAAATGTTAAGCTATAAATTAAAAGAAGTACAACTTTTGATAAAATATTTTAATAAATAAAATCAGATCACAAAATTCAAAAAGTATGTATTCTGATAGCGATAACATATTTAAATAAATTAAAACAGATCACAAAATAATATATCCATGCATACAACTCCCTGATCTATATAAACACGGCTACAAAAGGTAATAATGATCTTTTATTTTTATAATTTGTTTTGGATTTGATACAAAATGAAATGGTAACAACGATACAAGCTTTAATTTACATAAAGTTGGTGTTAATGATAAGGTGATGACAAGATAAAACCTGTTTATTTAACATACAGAGGAACCTCGATTACAAGTCACCCTTGATAACAAGTGTCATTTTCAAACCCACTAGAATTTATTTTACTCCTGAACACAATGCTATTCCCTGTGAGAGTTTTGTTATCAAGGTTCTACTGTAATACCAAAATATGTGTATGTGATTCATTACGTTTTAATATTACTTCTGGTCATGCCCAAAAGATGTAATAGGCCTATAATATTCAGTATTTTAATCACTTTATTGCAAGAGTATTCCAGACAAAATTGTTTTGCAAGGTTTTCTGTCTGGGTGAATTTAACTTTGAATTTAGCTTTCCAGAATATTTCTACAGTAGAACCTTGATAACAAGACTCTCACAGGGATCATAAAAAAGACTTGTTATCAAGGTTGACTTCTTATCGAGGTTTGCAATAACATGTGATAGGGGTAAAATAATTTCAAGGGGATTTGAAAATTACCCTTGTTATCAAGGGTGACTTGTTATCGAGAGTCTTCTTATCGAGGTTCTACAGTCGTTTTTAGAGTTGTAGAGTTTAATAGGTAAGGACATGTGATTGAGCCTCATAGTTCTCATAACAACAAAATACAGATTATATCTGTCCAGTCTACCTCAATTACTCCATTACTCGTCATGACTATTACACTTATTTATACAAGTCTTGATAGTTATGGGGCTCTTACATAAAATTACAAAAATAGCTATATCCTATAATAGTGTTAGTTGGTGAATGCAGCCTTAGTGGTTTCAATGGTGGTCAATTTTTTTGGCACTTTTTTATCACACTGGTAACATAATTAAAGCTTTTTAATTGGTCTTCTCCTTTTTCTGAAAAAAAAACACCACATTTATTATTTAAGGTAAACATTAAATCTCTCTATGGTTATCCTACACTGAGATAGGTGGCTAAGTGTCTATACCATCCCCAGAAAACAAGAATGTGGGAAAAGGCCAGTTTTTTTTTCAACTTTAAATGGGTAAAACTAAAAAGAAGTATTGTCATGTTGCACTTTGAACAGTTTACTAAAAAAAATTTATATTTGTTATAAATCAATTAAACTTAGTTCTTAATTAGGTGGAGTAGTTTGTTATCATAATTGACCTTTTCCAAATGCCTGCTAAACTGGGTCTAGTTAGTGAAAATAATAAGTACCGGTAGGACAACTAGTTAGTGAAAATAATACTTCACTAACAAAAAATAAGTATTGATGTCAAAGTGCATCTGTTTGTTTGTAGCTCTTTGGTTTCATACCCATACCTTGGATTAAGGAAACCCGCAATGGTTTTAATTATTGTATGGTTTTAGCGAATTTCCCTATAGGGAAGTAGCTATTACCGTAGGTCTCATGGTAAGACCTAAGCCCAGGACCAATTTACTTTTTCATTTTGATGTCCCCAGAGGCCAAAAACACCATTCGTTCAAATTTTTATATATCTATATATAGAGATATATACATATATATGTGTCCATCCGCACGATAACTTGAGTAATTTTTGTCCGATTTTGATGAAATTTGGTTTGAAGGTGTAAGGCGGGATAAACTTGAATGAGTTCGCGAACCAGCATGATCAGACTATGGGAACGGGGGTTTATGGGGTAAAAATAGGTTTTTCCCATTTTTGACCCTAAAAACACAAAATTTCACAATTTCTCTTTAAACCATTTTGTAGAGCTTAAAAAAAAATAATTTAGTATATTGAAGCGTTATTATGCGCCTAACTCTTACGGAGAAAATTCAAAAAAATTTTAATTTTAAAATTCCCATGTTATTCTTATGGAGAATAAGTCAACTGTTTGTAGTTTGCTTGTTTATGAACATATTTTTATAAAATTTGGAAAATATATTAATTTCTTACTAAACCACAGTAACTTTTAATATTTTACATAAAAAAAACTTTTTTACCCTCCCTGTTGCAGCAAACCTAAGTACTCATTAAACTAATTCTGTTTAAATAGGGAATAAATGTGATATTTTTAAGGAGACATTTTAGTTTTAAATCCAATCAGGCAAATGAAAATTCGCTAAGTCTGCAGGTTTGCTGTGGCGGGGGTATTCATTAGGTTACTTGGTTTTGTTTGATAATAAAGCTTTAAGGCCGGTACACACAGAGGCAGACAGAATCATGAGAAGGGACTCGGAACTCACACAGACGCAGGAGTCTGCAAGCAGAGAGACTATCCCTTCCCTCCTTCACCTCGTGCTTTTACTATTTCGGTGCTTTGAAATGCCGAGTTGTGTTGCGCAGCCATGCTCCATCGATGTAAATAGTCTAACTACATTGATAGCCATAAATTTCAAAAATTATTCAAAAACCAACCAAAGAAACTAAACCACTGGAACAGAACAGAATAAAAAGTATGGAACAGAATGACAGTCCCTCACAAAGACAATTCCTGGTTTTCCAGGTCCAAAATTTCCAGGACAAAACTTGCCGCTCAAAAAAGCAAAACTTAGGCTACTTATTTAAAACTGCTATAGTATATTAAAACCCCTTCTGAAAATTTGTGAATTATTGCAATTGCGGTGACATCAGTAACGATTTCTTGCAATATCAGACATTCATGAAAGTACCTTGAAATTGTCACAAAATTTGTGATGATTTCTCGCAATTGCAGCAATTCCCAATCGCCAGAACTAAAGTAATGTTGTAAGCGTCTTACACGATTGCAGCAAAATTTGTGACAGTTTGTCAAAATCACTGATTTATATTGATGATTTCTTGCGATCGTGGCAACACCCGCTATAATTTCAAAAGCCGTGACTATTTGAGATTGGAGCGAAATACTTAATGATTTACGGTGATTGCAGCTGCATAATAGTTTCTCCCGCAGTAGCGATTTTAAACTTGGCAAGACGAGAAGAATCGGTGATTTTGGGGAGATTTTTTTCTACTATTGAAACATTAAAATTTCCCGGTTCCTTACGAAATTCACAGATCTTTTTCGGCAATCAAAATTTACGTACAATTCTCCGTTTCCAGGTTGGCTGGACCCCCTGAGTAAACGCAGCAGAAAAGGTCTGCAGGAGGGTTCTTACAAATCGCCCGAGATTACAAAAAATTCATCCGCGAACTCTATTGGATTCCTGTGTGCATTTGACAACATTAGAAGCAAATTTTAATCCTTCCGTCTGTGTCTGTGTGCGCCGGCCTTTAAAAGGACATCTTTTTAAGAAAAATCGGTTAAGTAGAACGGGTGAAAAAGGGGTGGAACAGAGAACCCCCTTAATTAATGAATTACTGTTTTAAGTATTTGGAGAGAAATTTAAGATATAGTTTATTTTAAAGAGTTTAAAAGGACAATAGGAATTAATTCAGGGTTGAAATAATCACACAAGGTAAAATTTTCTCCCTATTTGTCAACTTTGCATCGGACTTGAAACACTAACACAGTGAAACAAGCTTTAGATTATTCTATATAAGATTGGAAACATTTTACAAAAATAATTTAGCAATATACATGAACTAATTAATATAAGAAAGAATATAAAAAGATTTTGGGAGAAACTACTAAACTCAAAAGTATATTTTTATGGTATAGCCTCTGGATCACTGATTTTTACAATAAAAAGGTTTAAATTACCTGTATCCGTCAAGTGATCCTGGTTTGTAGTTAATTGACTACAGCCGTTTCATGTTGTAAAAACACATCTTCAGGTCAAACGTATATACATTGATTTAATCCATTTAAACCTTGACGACCATTCCATGGATTAAATCAATGTATATACGTTTGACCTGAAGATGTGTTTTTACAACATGAAACGGCTGTAGTCAATTAACTACAAACCAGGATCACTTGACGGATACAGGTAATTTAAACCTTTTTATTGTCAAAAGTATAACAGATGACTGAAACAGTTAGTTACTGAAATAGTTAAAAACAAATTTTCAAACTCAAAATATAAAAAAAATGTCTGAAATGTTTTATACGCCACTCATTATTATTACCAGTTAAAACAATATTTAATTTGCATACAACTTGACTACCAACAATAACTGGGTAGGCAGTGACAAAATAATGTATGATCTTAACTACAAAACAAAATACCATTTGCATATGGGCTGGGGGTTCACAGGCAAACTATTTAATCATAAGATAACAATTTCTTCTTTGATAATTAATTTAACTCTGGTTCAATTGAAACATGCATAATTCACATCACTGAATATTATATGGTAGAGCTACAAAAATGGGACTGAACAACTTTAAAAATCACATCAAACATTGTAGGGTTTCAATTCTGCTTCTAACAAAAGTTTTTCCAAAATCCTAAGGTGTTCATAAACAAAATAAAAACATCTATTTATTTAACCACAAATACTATTTACCTTGTGGTATTGGAAATTGGCCTTACATTTGTCTAAGTCTAAGCGAAATCTATGTGATTTGCTACCATTTACTACAAACTGCATGGGTTTTAAAAAAGGAAAATTATTCAAAATCAAATGATTTTTGGGGTCTATCTTAAATAACTCACTTTAAACCCTAGTTGGGGACGGTCCATCATTCTTACCGTACAAATTTATAAACAATGCCTGGAAATAATTCACAAGAATAAACCAAAGAACATTTTCATTTGTAACAAAATAATATTAAATATTATTACAAAATACATACTTTTCCCCATTTAGAAACAACTCTGGTGATAATAAAAAAAAAGTTTATTTAATTTTTAAATAAAGTATATACATTTAAAGTATAATTATTTACTTACCTAAAATCCAATATAAATATTCTTAAATTTACCCAAAATAATAAGTATAGTTTCAGTGAAAAACCCCTTATACATAAAATATTTTCTATCCAGGATTTTGACAAATAATACACTACTAGACTTCAGTTAAGAAGACACAATCGCTTTTGCTTGATTTTAGTTGGTGGCAAACTAAAGAATTCTCAATATCTTCAATAGCTAATTCAAAAACCAAATTCAACCTAATTCAAATGGCTGGGTTTAAAACCTCAGTGAAGGAAAAACTTCAAAATAGGCCTATTTACACATTTAAAGAATTAGATGACGTGCCTTTTTTTTTAACTCACCGCCATCTCAGTTTACTTTTTAAATTAAATTTGACGCAGTCCATCCGGAATCCCGGTCAGAGATGAAGCCTTCAAGTATTCAAGTAAGTAAGTAGGTATTCAAACTTAGTGCTATTTTCGAACATTGAGATCGTTACATCATCGTTAGAGACATGCACACCGGATAACTGGAGCTCTTCCCAGCAGCCAGTCAGTCAGCACTTAACTATAACCATGAATATAAATGGTCAAAAGTATGTTGTATCTTCAACAATTTAAATGTAGACCTAGGTCTGTTTTTACCTGTTTCTTGAGGGCAAGCTTGGATTGGTACTGATGTCTGGCCAATGCAAGTCGTACCCATTCAGGCTTGTCCGGTATTGCCAGATGAAGAATCTGGAATAATAAGTTGTGTTAAATCATGTTATACAAAAAACTATGTAATCTTCCCTTGGAATATCGCATAATTGAGGACGCTTATTTTGGAAACCACCAGTAACTTTTAGATGATTTTTGGTATATGAATAACACTAATAAAATGACTGGAACACAGGGACAATTGGTCCACCTGAAATGTACAAAATGTCAACCATCAAGAAAAAAGTGGGATTTTTCTCGACAGTAAATCTGAAACATTCTTCAAGGAAAGCAAACTAGGGATTTAATTTAAGTTTTAAATGATTTCTTATTAACATTTAGTTTAGAAGATGTTAAATTTATGTGTATAAGTCTTCTTATGATAGTATCCCAATTCACATGATTTTTTTTAAATCAACTAAAGAAAAAAACTATAATGATTAGCAGACTATACAGAAAATTTATTTGGCAGGAATTCAAAAACATATATTGTCATACTTTTCTTATTAGTTTTTATATCTAAGTGCTAGCCTATATCAAACTGCCACTCTTTGCACTCGGCGATTCAGCACATTCCCAGCCAACATTGCTCTAACATAGCCAACTCATGTCCATGGCCTCCTTGTGTGGTTTAACATTATGAACTACCTCGTGTGACAAATAAACCAATGAAAGTACCAATACCAACAAGCAGTTAGTTAGCCCATTGAACCAGACTGAAAACAGAGATTAAAAAGTGAGACTAAGTATCATTATCAATTGAGATGTGGACTTAACAGCTAGCTAATGTTATTAGCTAATGTTATGTTATTAGCTTCACAGCTAATGTGTGACTTATTTCGACATTAGTCTTATTGCACTGCTCCAAAGAAATGAGATACAGACTCACTTGGTATAGCGTCATCTTTTTGTTCAATGCTATTAAAAAGGGTCCTTGGGTTTAATTTGGTTAAGTTAAAACAACTCCTTTGAATTAGTTATGGTACGGTTAATTTACATTCACAAACTGTCGTAAAACACTTGATAAATGCTCACCTGCCGTGTGGCCAACAAAACATGTTCCAAAGCGACAAAAATCAAAACCCATTCACTAGGACTGGCTTCTGGTGCCACGGACTTCATCGCTGGAGACAGGTAGAGAAAGCCACAGTTGGTCATCACAGATAAGGTGCACAAGGCTTGAAACGCTCTCTGCAACAATAGACAGATTATAAATTGCTGAAAAACTCTTGCTTCAAAGATTTCTTTCAGACAAAACCACATAAATAGGACACTCATGTGTCTTTACAAAGTAATTTGCAGATTTGCACTCTTTTATATGTTAACTAGCTGGCCCGACAGACGTCGTCCTGTCCTAATGTGGTTTTATGTCAAATGCTCGTTCATTTTCAAGATGAACTCGTTCTCATCGCTCAATGACGTCCTGGTTGAAGTTTGTTTGCTACTCTTACTCACCTTTAGGTTGGAGCTCGTTTGCTGCGCTCACTTGCATTCAGATTTAGCTCGTTCGCTACGCTAACTCGCCTCCAGGTTGAAGTTCGTTCGCTACGCTCACTCACCTTTTAGTTGCAAATTAGCTGCTGTAATAATTTAAAAAAATAGTGCTACACCCTGTTGTTAAACCTATTAACTTTTTAATGCTATTGAACATCACAGAATCAAATTGTTTGGTTGAACCAGCTGTTAAGATTCTTTAATTCCATTTAAATATAAGTACTCATAAGGTTAACATGGGAAACTCCAGAGCCACTGGGGTGGAGCCCTTTTGACGGATCTGCACCAAACTTCACACAAACCATCCTTGAATAATGCTTAATAATGCCTGAAAATTTCATTACAATCTGTCAAGCGGTTTCGGAGTCCATAACGTTCAAATATATATATATATACAAACTTCCTCTTTTATGTAGAGCCGTACTCTTTTATCCCGCCTAAAAAGAGTGTCCCGGATCTTCTACCAACATTATAAAATTTATTATTTCATTGTTCGAAAAAATAGGCTCCCTTTCCTTCTCCCGGCTTTGGGTAACCCTAACCCAACGTTCAAACAATTGTTTTGCGTTCGGTCAGACGTAAGTAAACCAAAATCTAAACCTAAATTTTCATTATTCTGCTAGTATTTTATAGAAAATAGTTATTTTGGTGTTATCCTTATTGTGTCTCGTTCTTGTAATTCCTTTGACTCCAGTTTTTTTCACTACTTCAAATGTACCAAACTGGTTAGTGAACAAACAGAATATTGAACATCCCTGTAAAAAGTTGGATTTTGAGTCTTCACTCGACCGCAAAACTCAACCAATTTGTTCCTCGAATATGTTTGATCAACATTGCTTTGCCTTTATTTACTTATGTTAATTGTTTTGGTATTTATTCTTGCTTTCTGTTGTTATTTTGCTCAGAATCTATTGTATTCCTGTAAGCTTGCTGTCTCCAGTTTTGTTTTCACTACCTCATAAACACTGATTATTTTCTAGGTTATGTTTACTTGCTCCCGTAACAGCCTGGTATTGGTATTATGACAGTTCACTGCCACCGCCACCTGGATTTTACTCTAAACTCTCGTTTATAAAACCAGTGTTAGTTTTGACGCGTTTTCGTTGGTGAAACCAGATTTCCTTAACTGTGGTTTAAATCATCGGTTAGTTTTAACCGAAGTTTAACTAAACCATCGTTAGTGAGAATTTTGTGAAATCGGGCCTAAGTCATTATTAGTAAAAAAGAATAATATTGAAAACTACTATCACCTTAAACAAGTTTCATTTGATCAAGAAATAAAGTAAGAGTTGTAATTTCAAGGCTGAAAAAAGTTGGTGTTTTCTGTGCCTTTTGGATACGATAAACCTTACTGTTCACATATTATAGAGGCACAATATAATGTGAAGGTGAATAAGTTACATTTTCGATATTATATTTATGTGAAGATTTTTTTACATAAAACAAATGCGCTTTGACAGTTAGCTATCTGTAACCGTAATATTCTGTTGTTTTTGTAATCGGACCTGAGTGTGTCTCTACCTGCCAAGCCCCTGTATCCTTCACTCTGCGAGCCATCGGCCGTTGGAGACTGCAGCAGAGCTTGAACGCGTCGGATCGTATCTCTAGCAGGTTATTGGTGACAGCCCAGAAAGCTGCCATCGGATAAACTGACGAGAACAGGAAAACATAACCAAACTGGACAAACAGCTCCAGATAGTCGTCATAGGGGTCCTGGAACACGAAACATCTAATCTCTCTAGGCTCAACATAAAAATAATTTATATGGAAAATGTAACTAAATATAGTTGTATTTTTTTTACTCAATAACAGCCAACTTTTAGTAACTGGCCAATGGTACATTTTTTAGCTTTATAGAAAGGATTTTTTTTTCATTTAAATTGAAATCCTACTTTATGACTAGTAATTAAAATCATGGAGGGCGCTTACGTTTAATTATTGGAATTTATTTTTTCCCTCTCAGGATTCTTAATACGTTTGTAACGACACTTTTTGTTTCACTTAACTGCTGTCTGATTTTATTGATAGGCCTACCTCATAAGGATCAAGATAACATTCCCGCAAAGCTTGTAAAATCCTGGGATCATCATTATGCAATTCTTCAACCTCCAAATGAGAAGTAGTGATTAAAAATTTTTTGGAGCTGTTCCTCTTTACGAGTCGAACCTACAGGTAACAAAACAACAAAATAGTTAGATAAAACAAACATTGTTATTATTAAATGAAATTATTAACCATGATATCACCCCGTAAAGTTGAAAGTCTTATTTAATATTCAATAAGTTGAACAACTTAATTCATAAAATTATTCAATACCACACACACTTTTGTTATCAAATTACTAATAATACTAAAACAACAAATGTACAGATCTTGTAAGAAAGGTGTTTGCCATCTGTCTATATAATCTATATTATTAATATGCTACATGAAACTTTGTGAACAATAAGGCTTTTTTGTTTTAAGATTTAACCCCACATATTATATACCAAAATGTTCCTCTAGGTGTGTAGATTTGCAAACTGACCTTACATTTTTGAAAAAGTCCCTTTATCTGCCTCAGTGGCTATTCAAGTTCCCATGACTAGCGTCTAGACTGCCAGTGCAACTCCGAGGAACGAGGATCAGAGGCGCTAAAATTGTTATCTCTATCACTGTTGCTGTCAAAACTAATCATTTGTAGGTTAAATTTAAATTAAATATAATTAAACTGTCATAACCTAACCAAACTAACCAAACTTGCTGATAATGAAAAACTCGGATGAAGGTTTACTAATCGAAAAAATAGTTCTGTTCTAAAAATAAAATTATAAAATAAATGTCTCAAATTCAATTTTATAATTTTTAAATTATAAAATTAAACTGTCATAACCTAACCAAACCAACCAAACTTGCTGATATGAAAAAAAATTGTTGACAAAAAGTTAGTGCAATCAGTGGGAATCAAACCCGGCACCTTCCGATTATCAGCCCGACACGCTATCCACCTCACCACCAAGGCTCATGATTCAGTTCCGTATCGTTGCGGTAATGGTTGACGTCACGCCATCGGCACGGAGCGGTGGTGGGGGGTTTTCCGATCTGATCCTCGTTCCTTGGAGTTGCATTGGCAGTCTAGACGCTTATGTTCCCATGTTATCCTTATGAAAAATGTATTTGTTTACATTATGATCAGCTGGATAATTTAATTGCTATAAGCTATAAGGCTATATTGCTATAATTTAATTTTTATAAGACTTATAAAGACTTAATAAGGAAACAAAAGTGCTACAAATATTTACTGACTTGGTTAAAATGAAATATTTACGATTTGAATTTGGGTTGGCGTAAATATTACAATGGAACAAAGCGAGAGAGATTTGCAAACTATGAAAACATAGGAAAGTCATAGAACACCACCAAGTTGGAAGAAATAGAAACAGTTTTTTTTTTTTTTATAATCATTCATATGGACAACCTAATGCAGCTATGAGCAGGAAATATTTGTAGAAAACACAAAAAACAAGATCAGCTTTTGAAAAATGATAAGATATTTACAAGAAATGTTGATTATATCGAACTGTTATGTGCATCGTGAATATTTCCATTACTTACTCCATTACTTTAGTTCTGTTTATGGCAGATTGTATACCCATTAACTGAGGTTATAAGGTCATAAACAGAGATTACCTTTGAGTTATAATGTTGAAGTATCAGTGGAAGGATTGCTTCTTGGAAGTTGTTAATGGTCTGCGATATTATCAGTAGGGTAGCCAATTGCTGAAACATGAATTTAACAATTTTATTCATACATTCTATTTTAATAAAAACTTTAAAAAAATAATAATGTAATGTAATCATGATTGATTTGTTGCAAACGGATTGATGTTTAAATTAATAAAATTAATAATTACAACTTACGTCAATCAATCCAGTATTATTTATGGAGGACGCACATTTCGACCTTTAGGTCATCTTCTGCTCCGCTGTTGCACTAGGTTATTACATACTTAGTTGCATTGTTGGTGTAGCAACCGCGTCAAATAATTTACATTGAGAAACATAGTCTAACCACGTAACCATAAAACACAAAAACACGATACTGACGAAGACGAAAACATTTAAATAAAACTATCACCGTGCGCACGGCTGGACGGGCTCGGGACTGCGGCGGCACTCAGCCGTGCGGACGGTGATAGTTTTATTTAAATGTTTTCGTCTTTGTCAGTATCGTGTTTTTGTGTTTTATGGTTACGCAGTCAGACTATGTATGCGGTTGCTACACCAACAATGCAACTAAGTATGTAATAACCTAGTGCAACAGCGGAGCAGAAGATGACCTAAAGGTCGAAAAGTGCCTCCTCCATAAATATTACTGGATTGATTGACGTAAGTTGTAATTATTAATGTAATGTAATGTTTGACATACGGTAGTTACAGTATGATTTTTAGTCAAATTAGAATCTTCTCGAGTCTGAATCAAATAATTTCACAGGAATGATTCTTAAAGAGAATATTAATAGTTAGAATGAACATTCTAGTTTGTTAAAATTCAAATTAGTTACTTACACTCCTGAGCATATCCATGTCCTGATAGATAAACGCAATGTAGAACAGTGACATGAAGTTGTTAACAAACTCAAACAGAACTAGCTTGGTGACTCTGTGCCTTTCAAACTGAGACTGGGTGCGGTGGTTCTCTACAATAAAAACAAACAATGTACTTGTTTTGTAGGACACTGGCAACCTATATAATAGATACTTCATGAGTTGAAAGATAAACCCTCAACTAATGTTTAAGTGCTGATGGTTAGGTGAGTAGGTGGCTTAGGGGGTAGCATCGCGGACTTCGGGCCCAAGGCAGCGTTGTCATGGGTTTGGATCCTGGTCACTGCCGCAAACATTTTATAAGTACAGTTCACCTTCGTACCGGCTCATTGTTGGATACATTCCACGCACAGATCTGTAGTCTATGTGGAAATGCAAATGCAAGGATAAAAGAGACCGCCAACTTCTTAAAAAAGCTCAACAAAGTAAATTTTGTAAAAGATTTAAACTATTTAAAGTAAATTTATATAACAGATTTGCAATTGTTACAGTCTTCAGTATTTATTTCTGAGTGGAAAAATTTCAATTTGACATTCTTTCCTTTGAAAATGGTGTGCAGAATACGGTGCAATCAAAAAAGTATAATAGTATGTATAACAGCATCTTTGTCATCAGGTCTGGAAAATTGGCATTCTTACTAGAAGATTTTAGAACATGTCAAATCTGTATGGAAGTTATGGTATAGGATTGAATTAATAAATGGTGACAAATTCGTACTAAAACATTATTTCCAATAACTAAGGAAAATATTTAACTAGCCAAAAACCTTTGCACATAGGAATTATTTAAATTAGAAGTTAAGTAGTTTCATATTTTACATCATACTACACAGAAACAGGTACTTTTCCATCCGTATTGATAGGCTGGAAAGTTACCCTTTGCCGTGCCTACTACACACGGAAAAGTAACGTAATGTACTTTCACCGTGATGAAGTCAGCTGATGAAGTAGACAGCTAATTGCAAGGGCCTATTTTATTTTCTGAAATATAAAATACTATAGTTTATGTTATTTCCTAAATAAATTGTGTTATGAGTTTAAAATTTACTAATTTTTCTGTGTAGTAGGATGTAAAGTATCGTACATTACTCGCCCAGGAAGCATTACCGTACTCGTACGAAAATCCTGCACTTGGCTCACTTTGCGCGGGTACTGTCGTGCTCGCATGGTAAAACACCACTTACCGGACTAGTAACGTAATATATTATTTCAAACAAAGAACAAACTGTTTCTTTAACTTGGGATAATATTTAGACAAATATTCTAAGCTTGTTGCTATAGTACCTCACAATTTTATAAGCATCTAGACTGCCAGTGCAACTCCTAGGAACGGCCGATCGGTAGGATCGTGGATCAGATCGAAAAACCCCCCCACCACCGCTCAGTGCCGATGGCGTGACGTCAACCATTACTGCAACGATACTGAACCGATCTGAGTCATGAGCCTTTGTGGTGTAGTGGATAGCGTGTCGGGCTGATAATCTGATGGTGCCGGGTTCGAATCCCACTGGGAGCACTAACTTTTTGTCAACAATTTTTTTCATATCAGCAAGTTTGGTTGGTTTGGTTAGGTTATGACAGTTTAATTTTATAATTAAAAGATTGTAAAATTGAATTTGAGACATTTTTAATTTTATTTTTAGATCAGAGCTATTTTTCGATTAGTAAACCTTCATTCGTGTTTATCATTATCAGCAAGTTTGGTTAGTTTGGTTAGGTTATGATAGTTTAATTATATTTAATTCAAATTTAATCTACAAATTATACGTTTTGACAGCAACAGTGATACAGAGATAACAATTTTCCGCGAACAGTTAGATAAGCTATGCTGATGCGCCGGTATGATCTGATCCACGATCCTCCGTTCCTCGGACTTGCACTGGCAGTCTAGACGCTAGTCACAATTTTGGGTAAACAAACAACAAACAAAAGGGAGAAATATGTAGGCGAGTAATAAAAAACACAGAGTTTGTGCCTACCCCATTCTGTAAGATTAGTAGCGAACCGACGGTAAGCCATGTTCATCAGATAGATTAGAGCAGCATAAGCAACACTCGGAGCCAGATACAACCACTGGGGACAGTCTGGCATTGCTCGTAGTAGTTCCTCCAGCCAGAACGACACCAACATGACAAAGAACGCCAACACCATGCAGACCACTACCAGTGGTATTGATACTGTGTACATCTGTAACATCAGAGATCAGAGGTCATATCACTTATTATCGTAGGCTACAAATGAAAAAAATTATTTCCTAGTTTAATTTTCAATAGTTTTGGCAACACATAAAACTCCTGCATTTGCCAATGACAAAATTGGTGAGCCATTTTCTTATTGCAAAGTAGTGTGTATCAAAATAACCGATAATAAGCTCACAAAGTTTTTTTTCAAAATCGTAACTCGAGTTGAAATTGGATAGCTTTAGTTTATTTGACCAGCAGTTTAATACCTTGACTTGAGTTTTCCATCGAGGAGCCTGAGGTTGGAGCTTACCAGTGACATGATCTACTCCCATCACTCCCTTGAAGTTAGGCCGGGGCTCGTCCAGGCTGCTAGCCATTCCGATGGTGCCCCAAACAAACGCCAACTCGGAACACTTCATGCGCCAAAGCTGTTTTACAATGAACAAACGGGTCTTAGCTTCATACCAATAAAAAAAATTAACACAATGAATCCATCACATTCAGGAGACAAACATGTTCAAAGTGTCACGTCACACAAGAGCTAAGCACATGTGACCCTTAATTTGGCGCTTCTTGTATTGTATCTCAGACCTTCAGGTATGGAGATTATATACAGTACCATAGACAAATAGAATAAATATAGACCGACAGCAGTGCTGCGGTTAGCATATGTTTCGGCATCCACTGCTAGGAGTGCCGTGTAGTTACACGTATTACCATGCACATAAGTTTTCTTTTATTTACACTGCAAAGCCAGTGAATTACAAGTCGCAAGGGTGTAAAACAAATATTCTTGGACGTGATTTTGACACAAATGGGCTGCCACATGAGTTATTTCTAGGATTGAAGACAGTCAAGATGTTAAGCCACTTATAATCAATCCTTGAAAAAAAATTACCAAAATTACTATAAATACACAAGACAAACCGTATTTATAATAGTTGTATTTAGTTTCACTTTACCTCCATGAACATTGAAGCCCACAACACATTGATTATGCAGAACCATGCAATGTTCTCTGGTGAAATGAAGAGTTGCAGGAATCCAAGTACCATCGGAATTACTAGAGCATATGTGTAATAGCCTAGAAACTGGAAATACAGAGCAATCGACTCTCCGAAGTACTCTCGGATCTCCTCTGTAAAAATAAATAAATATAAACTGGATATAATAAACATCACCAATAATTAAATTTATTGGGAGGTATTTATATTTTTATAGGTGCTACATGCCAAACTTAATACAGTTAAACTCCCTAATCCGTGATTTGTTAACAGTGGCGGTTCCAAGGAGGCGGGGGCTACAAGGGTTTAAGCTGTCTTATTGGTCCCTGGAAAAATAAATTTAATACATTTTGTCGGAAAACGTAATGGAGATTTTTGGACACTATTCTAGATGTTAATCATGGCTTTAGAAAGTCACCAAACAGACAATAGACAATAGACAATATTTCTTTATTTACATATAATAAATATAACACAGATAAATAAGATAATTAATAAGATAATAAATATAACAAGATAAATATAACACAGATAAAAATATATAACAGCTCAATAAATATATAATTTTTCAGAGAACGACCCCTTTGACAAGGTCTTAGAACTGGAACCCCCCCCCCCCCCCCCCCCCACTGTCATGGGACTAAAAGTTATTTACAATCTAATCAATAAGCCTTCCATACGCATTTAGTAGAGACGGCGAACAATCAGCTAAGGTCAAGAGATCTGAGTAACAAATATAGAATAAATATGATCCGAAATTTAGTAATCAACTTCTTTTCACATCTACTTTAACAGGATTCCTGTTATTCTTGCAACAACAGTTATTTTCGGACAACACTAAAAATACTGATAATCTAGCACTGCAAAATTCACGTGCCAGGTTGGCAAGAGTCTGTTATGGTTACTCCCTTAGTTACATTTACCTCAGTTTTACTCTTAACATAGAAAGCTTCATACCTATAAAGTGTGGGACAGTGAAAAAAGTTTTTTAAACAAAGGAACAAGATAGAGTTCGACCACAGACTAACCAACACAAGTAGACTTCTTATTTCATTGTAAAATGTGATACCTGTTTTTCACATGTCTAGTTCATGTTGGTGACACTGACACTGTCGACAAAATTTTGTTTCTATTATTTTAGGATTAATTTGGTGATCTCTTGATTGTATAACCAGGGAACGAGCTATTGTTTATGATACAATTGTTTTATTTGGCTAAACGAGGATTTAAATGATTGAAATAATTAGAAACAAATTGAAAACCAAAACACCTAGTAGGCTTATCTCAACATGAAAAATAATCTAAAGCTTGTACTGCACTTACAACAAAGTTTATTTCTTAAACAAGTAATAATGTCTTGATAGGTTTCATATACATTTTCTGTGTTCCTTTCAAGATGATTTTGATTCTTGATTTAATCATTCGGTTTGGATTTTTTTTTATCATTAGTTGATTTAAAAAGGAGAAAAAAATACAAATAGGTAAACTGTTTAAGCCATGGCTAACTTAATTGTTTAATACCCCCGCCGCAGCAAACCTGCAGACTAAGCGAATTTCCATTTGACTGATTGGATTTACATTGAAATGTCTACTTAAAAATATAACATTTATTCTTGATTTAAATAGAATTAGTTTAACAAGTACTTAGGTTTGCTGCATCAGGGAGGGTAAAACTGGTTTTTTTTGTAAAATGTGAATAGTTAGTAAGAAATAAAAACATTTTCCAAATTTGATCAAAATATGTTCACAAACAAGCAAACTACAACAGTTTACTTATTCTCCATAAGAATAACATGGGAATTTTAAATTTACAATTTTTTGAAATTTTCTCCGTAACCATTAGGCGCATAATAACGCTTCAATATACTAAATTATTTGTTTTTTTAAGCTCTACAAAATGGTTTGGAAAGAAATTGCTAAATTTTATGTTTTTTAGGTCAAAAATGGGAAAAACCTATTTTTACCCCATAAAACCCCCCGTAAACCCCCGTTCCCATGGTCCAATCATGCTGGATCGCGAACTCGTTCGAATAAACGTATGTTTACACGTTTGTACCAAATTTCATCAAAATCGGATCATTTTTGCTCGAGTTATCGTGCTGACGGACACATATATATATATATATATATATGAATTTGAACGGATGGTGTTTTTGGCCTCTAGGGACCTCAAAACGAAAAAAAAACCGGTCCCGCGTCCAGGTCTTTCCATGAGTACTACGGTAATAGCTTATTCCCTATAGGGGAAATTCGCTAAAAAGGATGTTTTGATAAAGGTTTTATTTTGCATGCTTATGAGTTTTACAGTTTTTATACTGAAAATTTAATTTAGTTTGATGTAGTAAATTAGTGCTTTTAGTACCTACAATAAAAATAGAGGAAATCTGATAGTTTATACATGTTAATATCATACACTACTACAAAGACATCGAAAAACACAGAACAGATCTAAAAAAGCAAACAGAAAACACACCTTCTATTAAAAACTTGTTTAATGAAAAATATTATTTTAGGACCTAAGAGGGAAATTCTTACCATAATCTTTGATTACAAAATAATAAATCAAATAGCCTATAAAAACAAGAAAAAGAAAATACAAATCATATAGCCAAACAGATTAATTGCCCCAAAACCAAAGAAGTATTATGGGAATATTGTTCATCACAAATAATTACCAAATGGTTGCTTTTTGAACAGAGAGAGATACCATTTGCGACCCAACTTTCTTAAAACATCTTCATCGTGAAGTGGGAATAGTTGTTGCAGCAAATTATAATGAACACAAGCGGCAACTGAAAACAGACCACTTTCTACTGACAAAACTCTTCTTGAATGTAAGGGGATTTTAGGTACAGATAAAATCGTGTTTATTTCAAACAAAGGATTCAAAATTAAGTAGTAAGATATAATTTTAATTAAAGATTTGTTTTTGATATGTGACTTACGGAATGTAAAAACTGACATAAATCAAGCCTCATTCTCATGCAACTATCTTAGTCTTAAAATATTTAACAAAAATATAATATTAGAATAGAATTGGACAAACAAATATAGGCCTATGCCTAACTATGGTATATTACCAAATCCAAATCACAGACATAACCAGAAATCACAAAACAAGTGTGTTGTCCTAAGAAGTTTCCTCTTAAAAATACTGTAAGTTCAAAATAAAACTTGAGTATGTTAAAAACCGACAAATTATAAAAAGTTAAAGATATCAGACATCCGGCAACGAGGCACAAGTTCACAAACAATGAAATGAAACTAACATAGGCTCAGCTACAACACAAAGCATGCCAACTTATGTTCAGACGAATAATTAATTAATACTTATTCATTAAATATATTAAACACACAAGAACACCACATTTTTTTTGTGTGGATAAAATGTTTTTTGTTTAAAGGTTAACAGATTTGTTAAAGTCTTAAAGATTGTGGTGTCATCTTTTTGAAGACAATGTTTTTACCATTTCATCCTTCATTCTAATTTAATTCTGTTATTCTGTTGTTTAGCATCTAAACCAATAAAATTAATGATTTCACCTGCACACTGTAGTTTTCAATAAATTCTCTCATAGCTTTGATCAGACGGCACTAGTAATAGTACTAATTTACTAGCAGCAAGTAAATACTCCTCTTGTCACAAGTGTTGTGGAATTTTCGGGAATTAATTCCAAATGTTTTTAAGGGTTATTAAGGCTGAAAAATTATCGGAAAAATAGAAAAAAACTGTACAGTTTGGTAATTAGTTGGATACGATCAAGAACAATTTGTCCAGTTTTAAGGGCAACTTGTATGTGTCTGAACTAGAAATAAATAGCGGTTAGCGAGGGAATTTGAAGATGGGGATGGGATTCCAAATTTTTCAAGTGTAAAAATTAATTGTTGAATTCTGATTGTACTGTAAGTTTACTCTTTTTTGAAAAATTTCCATTGTAATAAATTCTTATATTATTTGTAAGTAGGCCTACCATAAAAAAAAACTTAGTAAATTAGCAGAGTGAAACAAAAACTAGCACCTAGTAAGTTAGCACTAGCAGTAGTAAGTATTGACTTGCTATTAATACTGTGAGCCCTAATGGCGGAATCGCTCTGGGAGCGATTTTTCTAAAACGTCCGCGGACGATCACGCCCTCGCCCATGCGCAGACAGAGCACCAAACCACGTGTAGCTCTCAGCGAGGCATGTGTCACTCGCATCACAGTGTTTAGTAGTTTGTGTTTACAGTCATAGATGTTCATCTAGTTGTTTTGTGTCCTCCCTTGTTGTTTGTTATAGCTGAATTAATTGAGGCTGTCCGTGCCTACCCAGTTATCTGGGATACAACTATAGAAATTTATAGAGATCAACAAGAGTAAGATAAAATTTGGTTGGAAATTGCGACTACACTCTAAAGAGATTAAAAAGAGAATAAAGTATCCTAACCAATAACCATGTATATTTATACGAATTACTGTACAGTAAATCATTATTACAATGATTTGTATTACTATGATTATTTGCATTATTACAATGATTCACCAAATCGCTGCCGCTTTCTGTTAATCGGATGAACCCTTTTCTCTCCCTTTTGATAATGAGTACAAACGTACAACCTCGTCGTCACTATCATCACTACTTGAATCAAGTCACAGAACAGAAAATCCGGGTTGACACCATGGGACAGAAGGCTCAGACATTTTGCACACCTCCACTGAGTTGTAAGAGGAAGTATGTTTAATCTATGATTGTAGTAGGAATGGCCAACTTCCCTATGCGCATGCGCGAATCAAGACCCCACTATAGTTCGGCCGCTTAGAAAACGACCTGCGCGCTAATGCTAAACCAATGCTGTAAGAGGTCGCTTTCTAAGTGGCCGAACTATAGTAGTGTAGTGGGGTCTTGCGCGAATGAGTGGACGTTTGAAACGTAGCTCGCAATGTGTAGGGAGCGCGTTGCTTCCATCCGAATCATTTCATCCGTCCGCGGACGAAATTATCGTCCGCGGACGCCAGTGTGAAACCGCCTTAAGGGCGAGAGCTTTATTAGTTTATCATGTGATCTACTAACAGAAGTGGACTAGTGAGTCATTCACTCATGTAAAGCCAAGGATACAGCGCTGGTTGTGAGTTGATACAGTAATATTGATAGCATCGTAATATCTCTAATATCTCTCGTAATAATCAGAGTCGAAGTGATGGCGTATGACAAGCTTAAGTGGAACGGCTGTGTTGTAATCTTTTTGTTGGGCCTATATTTGGAATCATAGCTTAGTATTACTGTTGTTGTATTGTTTGTTTATATATTTACTGTTGTATATACTGTTGTTTTTATATTTTCTTGTAGACTATGATTTCCTGTTTAAGTTTTAAATCCCCGTGCCGTATCCTGTTTAAGTTTTGGTTTTGGGAGAGTGTATTTATAAAGAACATTTCCTCCCATAAACCTGTTTTTTTAATGCGCCTTACTTTAAGAGGAGTTTTTAAAAACTGATGATAAACTAACTTGATTAAAGCAAGAATAACAAAAAACTGCCATAGGCCTACTTACAAATTGACTGGCCTTCATAGAGGTGTATCTTATTGGAGTACCCTGGTACAGACTTCTCATTCTCTAGGGCTCTGATGTTTTCGAGTTCATGGCGGACTAGATATTCTTTCTCAGCAGTTGAGAGAATATCTGAAGCACAACCAAACTCAGACTGTTCTTGGACAGTGAAATCTCTAACGAACCCCCTGGAGTCCGACTTACGAATGTTTTGTTCTTCTGCTAACTCCAACAACTTCTGATTGGTTGCCGAGACATGGAACATTAGGGATAGCTGAAAAACAGTAGTAATTACCATCACTTATTGTTTGTAATAGCTGAAATAGGGACTGCAACTTACAATGTAATTTTAATGAGTGAGTACCGTGCATGGTAGCTTTATGGTAGTTAAGTGTCTTGAGCTGATGTCTTGCGCCTGCACTAGCTTAACACTGGATTGACCATTTGACTTGTACTACAACGGTACGTAACAGGTTTTACCACCAACAACAGGTTTAAAATAAAAATACCCCTGCCGCAGCAAACCTGCCGGCTAAACAAACTTCCATTTCTCTGAATTGATTTTCAATTAAATCTTTTAAATAACATTAGGTTTGACGAGTACCTAGGTTTGCTGCTACAAGGAAACTAATAAAGTGAGTTTTTTAGTAAAATAGGTATTAATAGCTTAGTATAAAATAAATAAATTTACCCAGTTTGATCCAAATATATAGATAAACAAGTAAACTAAAACTTTTACAATAATATTCTCCATAAAAGTAACATGGGAATTACAATTTTAATTTTACATTTTACAATTATTTAAATTTTTTACGTTATCAATAACCGTAAAAAACAATTTGATATGCTAAATCATTTGTTTTTTAAGCTCTTTATAAAGGTATAGAGAAATTGGGTTATTTTGTGTTTGCGATATCATTCAATTTTATCTTGCCCTATGGGCCTACCTTCAAACCAAATTTCATCAAAATCAGAAAAAAATTAATCTTGTTAACGCGTTCACGGACGTATATACATATATACTAATTTGAACCAATCGTGTTTTTGGCCTCTAGGGACATCAATATGAAAAAATAAATCGGACCCCGGGCCTAGACCTTACAGTAATAATTACTTTCCTATAGGGAAATTCGCTAAAAACAAAAAAATAAACTTAATTGAGTGGTACTTGTGCAGGTTGTTTAGGTAGGCTAGAGCCCTAGAATTTTAGTCAGAAAGTTAAAAAAAAACTGGGTTTAATGTTTAATTTAAATGTGCTTCTTGGTTCTAGGCTCGGACAAAAGTAAATTTATACCAGTGGGGGTCCCAGGATTTCATTTCAGATGATGTCTCCCCCAGAAAAAATGGGGGGTCTGCCCCCCCCCCCCCCGAAAAAAATATGTAATTTTAAGCCTAAAAACCTATTTTAATACATATTTTAGCTCTAAAATATGCTCGAGCTAATAGTATTTATGTTAGCTAATCTATATATATAATACACTAAGCCGATTTTTGTTTATTAACCTATTTATTACACTACTCATTAAAACAATTTCGAAATGCTCACATTTTTTATAATTTCACTCTTTTTGTTGCAGTTAAAAAAATTGTCGTAAGCCATAGCCGTTTTAAGCAACCGTCGATTTCAACGGGTTTCACCTAGTATAAAATATTTTGGGGGGATGTATCCCTCTAATCCCCCCCCCCTGGGACTGCCACTGATTCATACTCACCTCTCCTGGTACATTTGGTTGTTTTCGGACAAGTAATTCGGCACCACCATCTTTCCTGTCCTTTTTAATTTTATCAACTATCCATTGGACTGCTTCAGTGTGTATATCTGGGCTAAACTGTAGTACAATGTAGGTGGGAGGAAATTCTGCTTGATTCTTAGTATCATCTTTAGTAAATCTTTGCCTAACACCATCACTCATGGTATCTGAAATATTGCAAAATGACAAAAATTAAACTTCCTAAGCAATGAGAGAAAATTCTGTACCAGTACCACAACTCGTCATAGGCACAGCAGCCTTTAGACTCTCAACAATAAATGGCTTAGGGCCTATTATAGTACCTGGCCAATCTTGCAGTAACTTAGATAGTAGAGTTCAATTCATTGGCTTAGAGTAAGTAAATGGCTAAAAAATATTAATGTTACCTCTGGCTTTCCAAGATTGTTGTAGTTACTACGCGTTTCGTCAAAAAAGTGACGTTATCAGGTAATCCGCTTTAGTTTCGTCTTGAATATTAAAATAAAACAGTCATTACAAAAAAAAACATTCAACAATCAAACGGTAACGTAGTCACGATTGCCACATCTCACTCGCAGATGCGGAACGGCAGAATGTAACATTAATATTTGACATTCCAGCAGTAGGAAATCAATTCTAAATGGGTAACACCGTTTTAAACTAAGTAGCATAATGTAATCTATATAAAATCCAATGTATGTTAACATTACCTAACTAACCAAATGATATATTGAATAATCGATATATCGATTGTTTTATTCGATACATCATTTGATTAGTTAAGTAGGGTTAACCCTCCAAGTGTCCATAGTAATGGTATTAATGTTCGCCCATTTATTGCGCAATTGCAGGGTTTTATTAAAATGTGTCTTAGAAACATAAAAACTATGTAAAGTATACTGTTTTATATATCATTTTGTTTGGAAAATTATGGGCCTCAATGTAATAAATCAAACATTACAAAAAAAATTTCTACAATTTTTGTGGGCTTAACATTTCTAGAAAATTATAAAATAAATGAAAAAAATTTATGTTTGAGCTCAATAAATGTTTATAGTTTATGAGTCTACAAATAATTTAAAATAGCCACTTTGTTCTAAATGTTATAAGGATTACAAAAATATAATAATATAAGGAAATAGTTTGCAAATAAATAAGTTATGGGTAAAAAACAGATTTTGTACATTTAGCGGTAGCTAAGAATGCATAGCCTAACCATAGCTACATATCTGGCCGATAATTTACATCAATATCACTACCTACTTCTTCAGGATCATCAACCAGCCCTTCAAAATCACTTAAATCTTCTTATAATGCACCACGTATATCTCTACTTTATATTTTTAACACTAAAACAATGATAAACGTAATAAAACACATCAGTCATCGGTGTGAGGTTAACCAAGTTGTTTACAAACACGTCAGCTGCCTGCTACAATATTTTTGGAACTAAAATGAAAAGCGTCTAGAAACAGACATCAGGAGAAAGCTTAGAATTTGCCGAAAACAACGATACCAATCTCAATCCAGTTCAATCTGATTCAGTCAGTCCCAGAGCCTTCGCTGTAAACGATGTTTGTGTGTCGCAAAAGCGACGCATAACACCACAGCGGGTGTGTTGTGTGTCGATTATGCGACGCTTAACACTCGGAGGGTTAACTTAACCTAACTAACCAAACGATATTTTCATTCGGTTGTTTCATTTGAATGAGTGTAAGACGTAAAGTAAAGTGCACCCTTAATTAGTTTCTCATGATTTGTGCCTCACTGTTTCGTTATATAGCTAAGTTTAGTAGTGGACAAGTTATTGTTTATGATTAGATAGTTTTATTTGGTTAAACGAGGTTGTATATTACTGAAATAGCAAGAAACGAATTGTAAACAAAACACGACTCTACAGTACACCGGACAGAACTAACGGTAAAATTGGCTTCAGCTGTTCCATAAGGGTGGGAAATATACTAAGGGAGTATGTTTGTATGCTATGGTTATAATTTGTAAGTCAAATGATAGGCTATTCAGTATTAAGTTAAGTTATATCTTAGACTATTAATAACTTACAATACTTCTGTATCCAATAGTCAATGGTTATTTTCAAACCTTTTATATCTGATATCTACACTAAAGGAGAAAATTATAATAATATTAACAATTCTTTAATTAAATTATGAGAAATCCAGCCTTAAATCACTAAAAAATCTCATGTGAGCCTAGACTCTAATAATCTGCCCTATGAAATGGCTTTTTGGGCAGTCCATATCTTGAAATAGGTCTATATAAGTTAGGCTATTAGAACTTAAACTTACCTCGACTCTCTGTAAAATCCTATTAGCAAAATTATCGATTTGAGCATTAAAATGGTCAAATATTATCTAGGCCTACTGTATGTAAATTAGCCCTAGTCGCTCAGTTTTTAATCAAGTTGACGTTAAATTAAATTGACAACAGTTCAGTTAAGTCCAGGACACGAACGAAACAATCTATAAAATTTGAAATTCACTAGGGCCTAATTTAATTTGGTACCTATGCCTATAGAGTGCCCAGGGTTATTGTTATGGTTATGTATGAGGTTGATGATGATGAATGATGAATTAGCTATCCGCCGGAGATGACACATAGAGCATCTATTATGTTGTTTTGTTACGACTGGGACTGGACTGTTCCCGTTCCCTTCCGATAGAGTTACAATGACAATAACTGAAATAATTTTAATGTGACAATAACCAATAGGAGAGAGTGGAGTGACTCCACAGTCCACATCATCGCTTTAAGTTGTTGTCTGTTGTCATCTCAGCATTCTCAGCTGATCAATGGTCTTATTGGCCTTGACAGACAGACGACGACGACGACATTGGCAACCAGCTGATCGGAATCGGATTCGGATCGGAAATCCCCGGTCCCCCGGCCCGCCCCGGCCGATCTCTTCGTTTCGCGTCATCGTGCCACTCCACGGCCACCTCTAACTACAGGCCGCGGGCTGGTGGATTCGGGTAGAATCGGTAACGTCGCAAAAGTGGTGTTGTTTTGTTTAGTGACAGACGTCACATAAGATAACATTACAGACAGGTGACATCAGCTCATTAATTCTAACTTTATTGATTTAAATTTAAATTTATGAACATAAATTTATTAAAATATTGAAAATAAAAAATACAGAATTGAAAACCGAGGCTGCACTTTACTTTAGGTCCTACACTCATTCGAATGAAAATATCGATCGATATATTGATTAATCGATTGTTTCATTCTAATCTAAAGTAAAGTGCAGCCAATCTTTCGTAAATACACAAATAATACCATAGCTACTTCCAAACAAAACAGCTGTTACAACAACACTTGCGACGTTGCCACTTCGAAGAACGTTGCCACTCACTAAACGTAATTATAACATAACTCAGTGGTGGTGCCACTTCCTCCCAAGTTGCGTCGATATCGATTGTCGATTCGGCTGCCCGGGCAGACTGAAAACGCAAATCGAACCATTATGATAAACACTTCTAGCAAATTTCCTTATAGGAAGTAGCTATTAACGTAGGTGGGCATGGTAAGACCTAGGACCGGGACCGATTTACTTTTTCATTTTGATGTCCCCAGAGGCCAAAAACACCATTCGATCAAATTATTTATATGTCCGTGAACACAATAGCTTGAGTAATTTTTGTCCGATTTTAAACATTAAACGCGGGAATAACAATATTGATTGGTCATAATAACTATTTTCTTCCTGAAACTAGCAAAAAATTAAATTTTCAACAGTACTTACTCGATCATTACTAAATAACTACAGTATATATCACATAGGCTACCATTAAAAAAAAACTAATCATTGTAGGCTTAAGTAATGTACGTAATTAATTTTTTAAGGTCAGTAAGATTGAAAATTTCATTTATGAAGGTTAATAATTACAAGTCTCAAGTCCTATATTTAGTTCTTTACATCTTAATTTGTGGGATTACTGGATTACTGTACTCAAGACTAATTTATCAGGGTTTTATTCGTTACTTTTAGAGACAAGCAAGAATGTTAAAAGGGAATTTTTGGTTTGTTGAGGGTATTTTTGAGGAAAAACAGGTAATTCTTTGCTCTGGAGGGGGTAATTGGGCCATATTGGATTGGCAACACTGGTTGAAGGCATTCGTTTTGTTATTTATTACCCTTGCCGACAGACCGCCACCACCCTCCACTGTTCGATCAAACACCATTACCGCAACGATACGCTGAACAGCTGTAGGAATCGATGGTGTAGTGGATAGCGCACCGGGCTGTTAATTCGGAGGTAGCCTGTTCGATATCCACCGGAAGCATTAACTTTTTGACTCGATTTTTTTCATTATCAGCAAGTTTGGTTGGTTTGGTTAGGTTATGATATAGTTTAATTTTATAATTTAAAAAATATATAATTGATTTTGAGTCATTAATAATATGAACAGAACTATTTCTGTTATTAGTAAACCTTCATTCGAAATTTTCATTATCAGCAAGTTTTGGTTAGTTTGGTTAGGTTATGACAGTCAAATAAATTTTAATTTAACCTACAAACGATACGTTTTGGCAGCGACAGTGATAGAAATAACAATTTCCCACGAACAGTTCGGCTATGCACGGTATGGTGCGTTCTGCACGGTGCGGTGGTGGGCGGTGGCGGTCTGTCGGTACGGTCTCGTTAACATTTTAGGCTACGCCTTTTAATTTGAATTGTTGAGCCTGCACTGTGTTAGTGTAAAACCTTTTAGATTGGATTGTAGTAAATTACCAACCTGACATAAAAATTTCAACATACGGTTCTGTTGGATATAACAGTTATTCTAATTACGTGAAAGTAGAAGGAATATCATATCAGAGGGGTATGATAGCTTAGTTAGGTCATAGCTTAGTTTAGTTAGGTCATTGCTTAGTTATGACTGGACAGTAAGTACAGGCCAAGGAGTCAAGTCTACTATAAACTATAAGGAGTCGGAGTCAATAAACTATGCCTACGTATAGTTTTCGTAACGGTACTTGTGTACAGGCCAAGGCAATCACTGTACTGTATTTATATAGGATAGGCGATTGTTTTCAATATTTTAAATTACAGAGTTCCTGCTTTATAAAATGCAGGTTAAATTTTCAATAACGACGATTTTCTTTTACTGTATTTAAACCAATATTTGATACAACACTAATAGCAATAAAGAAAATTAAAAGAAACAACCTGTTTGGAATAATTCAGGCGACTTACGGTAATAATTAGTTATGCGAATGCGATGCTACGACAGCACCCGCCGAACTCTTCAAATGAGGATTTTCCGCTCTGTTCAACCCGAAATTTTGACACTACTAAGCCATAAAGAAAAAAAGTTAAATACAAACAGTAAAATATATTTAATTATCTACAACTTTACTCCAGATAAAACTTTTCTGACCAAAAAAGACAATGTTAGTAGTTGACTAACTGTTTCATGTCTTGTTTCCAGTTTTTATCCAAAATAAACTTTATAATTAATAAACATAACCAACTAAATATTAATTTTAAAACTATACTCTTTGAATGAAGAGGTTATTTCCAAGCTCTCTAACGATTTTCAAAATTTGATCTCAATATTGCAAGGTTGTCAAAATACAGAGTAAATTTATAACGTCTGCAATTTTTGCCGATTCCGAGGCGTCACATCATTCTTATTTCTAGTAATCGTGTCATTCTTGTATCGCTTCTATGACCGAAAATTAGCATAACATTTTGAATCGCTTGTTTGATTTCCATGCCCGTTCTATAATATTTAATTAAGTTGTTATTCTGTGTTCGTTGGTTAAAGCAGCTGATTAAAACTGTCTTTTTAATTTCCTAATTGCATCAATATTATTGTTATGTATATAAAAAACATTTAGTTGACATCATCGCACTCAAATATTTGTAACATGAATCACTCTGAAAATCCAGACAGTAAATCTTTTCCGCCAATGGCAAAACAACATTTTTAAACATTCATATTATATATAGCCTACCATTGCTCAGTAATACAACCTAAGAGTAGTATTCAATGATCAATGGTATTAATCGGAATGCTGTAACAACTTTATGTAACTGATAAGGTTGAGACAACTAACTGACTTCCCCCATGTCAAGGAATTCCAGCTTTAACAGTAACCCCACAACCAATTTCTCAAAACTGTGCCAGAGGGTTATTCAATGGCACAGAAGTACGATATGAACTGACGCGACGTGACGAAGGAAAAATTAAACTTACACTGCAACCTCCCTTTGAAGTTAGAACGTGTCTTCCCAACAAACAAATTTTTTCCAAATAAACTCATAGATTAATCTGCATTACACTGATGAAATCACGGAAGTGTTTAACTTCAAAAGATCCACCAATACCATTTTAATACTTTTAAAGTTATTCCAAAGGAAGAGATACCAGGGGCCCATTTCATAATAAACTACAAGTTACAACTTGTAACTTGTAATTTCCATTAGATTTGCATTGGGCGATCAGCTGATTTACTATAGTTCGGCCGCTTAGAAAGCGACCTCCTCCAGCATTGGTTTAGCATTAGCGCGCAGGTCGTTTTCTAAGCGGCCGAACTATAATAATATTAGTTTGTACTTTATTATGAAATGGGCCCCAGATAGCATACTAACAACTCCGATGACGTACAGTATAGGAAATGTGTTATTCCAACCATATTTGGTAACTAACGCAATTAATATCGTTATTGTTTTTACATTTACTTTACACCTATCTCTAAAATATTCTACAAGTTCTAAATATGTATAATTTAACTCAATTTATCGCAGTTAGATGAGTTAGCGTAAGCCTTGAAAGTAACCGTCGATTTCGACGGGTTTCACCTAGTCTTTAAAATTTTACGTTTGTTTTCATGGTTTGTTTTAGTGCAATATAATTTGTTTTAAGTAACAGCTGGTTGAATATAAAAATATTCTTTAGAACTATCAGGTTAGTTTATTATTCTGTGATTTTGTCATTGATTATAGGATATAAGTAAGATTCTATAACAATTGATGTATACAAAGTGTTTTCAAAGGAAAGATAATGCAAATTATTTGTTCGACTGTTTGAGGAAAGAATAGGAAAATAACAATGTTTTAATTCTTTTTGGCAGCTTTTTGTTTACAGTAAATGTTTAACCACTTGAACTTTGCTTGGATTATAAATGGAAATATTGATATAACTTCTAGTTGACTACTCAATCCCAATCCCCGTACGTAGGACGGGCCAACACCTCGTTATATTTTATTTTAATTAAAACTAAAAAAATATATAAATAGATTTACGAAACCCCGTACTCGTGAACCGCCTCTATTTTAGAGTTACGAATAAAAAATAACTGAATTGAATTTCATGATGATAAACAACATTCGAGTATCGAGAAATTTCAAGAAGTAGTTTTAAAATTTCCCTGTTATTACGGCAAAACCCGACCTGCGAACACCGCCGAGTGCCGACAAAACAACATAGCAAGTTGTCCTTGACCAAGGAAATCTAGAGAGCAGTGGTGTTGGTCAGCTCCCCTCCCCTGCACTTGTAGTCCAAGTCCGTCCCGTCTCACAGTCGTAGCAATAGCAATAGCCCGCGACTTGTAGACAATCGCTGATCGCAGTTCAAAACACCGAGGTCGTGATGGCTCGCGTGTGTATGCTACTGCTTTGTTTGTGTCTAGTGGGATGGTCTTCTGGAAGCTCAAGACAAAAACGCATCGTTGGAGGAGAGCCCGCTAGTCCACCTCCTCCCGGAGCATCGGAGGACGAAAACGTTGTGGAAAACCCGGCGTTAACCTCTGTCCAGCCGGTTAAGCCTACGACAACCACGACCACCACTAGACCGCGGTTGCCAGCAGACGACGGAGGCCCCATCGTGTTCCTACGGAGAGGTCGGCGGCAGGCGAGGGTGACTGGAGTGAAAGAACCAGAGGGAATCTACGCCTTCAAAGGGTTGAGGTACGCTCGGCCTCCAACTGAGTCTTTGCGTTTTCAGGTAAAAAATATATCAGAATTGTTAATTAATTTGTTGAAAAAAGTTCTTGTAAAAGTCGTCTTGGAAAACTGTGGGGTTATTTTGAAGTCATTGAAAAATTCTTTGGTCAGTTTCCCACGGGTGTTATTCACTTCAGGATTTACAATTTGATGAAACTCCAGCTTTGAACCATTTCATGCATAAAGTTCAAAATATTTGTTTAAAAATATGAACCTTATGGCACACACACTTTTGTTTCATAATTGTTTTTGTATCATAATAAAAAAGTAAAAAAAAAAAAATGCTTGAGGATACTTTTGCTTATTGTGTTTATGTTTTAAATGTTAACTCAGGGATGTGGCTAATTTTGTCCTACTTGGACAAGTACAGTAACTATATTTTGATTCTCTGGGGTGTTAATTATGGTAACAATTTTGAACAACATTGATATTTTTTAACTCGAGCCTAGCCTCTTATAAAAAATCTTTAGTCTCACATAATAGTTAATATTATTTATTTCTCTTACCTTTATCAGTTATCGTGTTTCTCTTATTTTGCTTCTTATCTTATTTATTTTTGTTATTCTTAATCTCTCTTATTTATTGTTACTATTATCAAAGATTACATATGCTAACGCATATGTAATCTTTGCTATTATTTATTTTTGTTGTTATTTGCCAATTTATATTTTATTACTATTCGTAGTTCTATGAATGTTTTGTTTTAGGCTATATATTCCTACTTTACTTATTTACCAACTCAGTTAGCCTAACTTTTACAAGGAGGCTATGCACCTTTGAAAGTAGTAATATATTTCACAACAATTTCTAGAATGAACTTGACCTAAAGCTCTCTACCCTTAAGCTGTTTTTGGAAAGACAGAATAACACAACCATACAATAATAACTAGGCATTTCTACCCATTCCATTTAAATATAATAGGTAAAGGTACGGTACCCAATAACTATTCAAAAGCAACATCTGAGTTAGTCAAAATTCCATCATCGGTTCATGGTCAACAAGGAAATTAGTGAATCTTGGTCGAGAACAGGTTTGTAGATGTTAATGATAGATTCATTGACTGCACATTACCTGACCTTGGGGAACCCCGCTGCCTTCAAGATGAATAATTCCTGATATGACTGGCAAAATGCAAAATACAAAACATCTTGTCATTCTTCTATGCAACATTGATACGAGATTAACGATTAGACCTACATTGTACCAGCCATAGCGTAAAAGATGTACATCTTCTAAGTATATTTGTTCCACATAGAAAACATATAGAACAAAATTAAACTATTATAACTACTATCACGCAAATGGTTAGAATTGCTGGAGTATCAGACTTTTTGTGGGATTTGGATTAACTATGAATTTTTAAAAAAATAAAAATAATACAGATTTAATATGGTTTACACCGATCAACATGTCTGCTGGAGGCATTTTATAGGAAGGGTATAATTATTCATATACATATGTATATTGATTTTGCTAATTGCAAATATGGAACATTCAAGTATTCAAGAGATTGAGCCGATAGTCTCAGTAAAATAGCTATAATATAATTCACTTTGAACTCATCTTCTCAAACTAGGACACCCTCTGGTATGTTATCATCATGGTAAAGAAAATAATCACTGAAAATATCTGTTTTACATTAAAACCATATACACACTTTTGTAAACATTGTTTTTCTCTATCATGTTTACTTGTTACTGTGAACATTGTTTTGAATTGAATCCTTTTCTTATCCCACATAAGGAAATGTGATGTCGAGAGAGCACAGAATAGAATTTTATATTCTGTGCTCTCTGGCGATGACAGCGATTTTTCCAATATGTCTTATTTGTTTTTCTGTCTCCACATTTCTACAATATCTAATGTTTTCAGCGGCCACGGAAGTTTAAGCCCGATGGAGAGTTGGAAGCCAAAGCACACGGACCGCCTTGTCCACAGACAATCGGGGATCACCAGGTCGTCATCGGCAATGAGGACTGTCTCTTCCTCGACGTGTACACACCTCAGGTACAAAGCTCTCTCCTCAACATTTAATTTACCTTAAATATGAGAACACTGCGGGGTTTACCACAGTGTTTGAATACCTCCGCCACAGCAAACTTGCAGGCTAAGCGAATTTCCATTTACCTGGCTGGATTTCTACTAAAATATTCCCTTAAAATTGTTAAATTTATTTCATATTTAAATAAAATTGGTTTTAATGAGTAACTTACTTAGGTTTGCTGCTTCAGGGAATGTATTGAGGTTTTTTTTAATATAGATAACTTAGAATGAAATAAACAAAATTTCCAAATTCGATTAAAATATATCCACAAACTAGCAAACTCGAACAGTTTATTTATTTTCCATAAGAATAACATAAGGAATTTAATTTTACAGTTTTTGGAATTTTGTCTGTAACCGTTAGGCAACAACGCTTTATTAAATACAATATTATAATTTAGTTATACTCTAAATATGGTTTAGAAAGACATTGTGAAATATTATCTTTTTAGAACCAATTTGTACGTACCCCATTAACACCTGTTCCCATATTCCGATCATGCTAGTTCAAATAAATGTAGGTTTACACATTTGTACCAAATTTAATTAAAATCGGATAATTTTTCCTCGAGTTATCGCCTTAACAGAGATTTTGAACGGAGGGTGTGTTTGTCTCTGGGGACCTCCAAACGAAAAATTAATCGGTCCCGGGTCTAGGTCTTACCATGGGACCTACAGTAATAGCTTATTATCCCTATATAGGAAATTCACTAAAAGTCAGGCATTGATTGTTTCATTTGTTTCTATGGATGAAAACAATATCCTATTTTGTATTTGTCGGGATAGCATTTGTCATTCTAGTGCTCATTTTTTATGTAAAGGTTACTAATTTAATTTCAAGTGTCAGGATCATTTCCGAACCTAGATGCTATTATTTCTCATTAAGTTCTGATCCAACAATGTCCAATCCTAGGTAGTAAAAATTAAAAATACCAGTGTTTGGCCATTCTGTTGAAAAAAAAACAACATTAAAATACTTGTTAAATACTTTAACAATCAGTTAAGCTTATTTGACAGTAAGTAGTTATGATGGCCACCTTCAGATCCAAGGGTTAACAGTTCCGGAATAAGAAATATTGATTTTAGAGTCATTCTAATCTAATTGAGTTGATTCTAGAGTCTCAGTTGTAATTTTTCATTGGGTCATTGATTAATTAGTGTTCTTTAACAGCTTGTCAACATTGAGTGGCATGACCAGGCCAGATTTTGGAATGTAAGGTGACAAAAAATGGGTCAAATATTACTTAATCTGGTCAAGTAATGAAACTAGCAATGCTTCACTAAGGTTTATTAACCTAGCTTATAAGCTTTGATATAGAACCAAAAAGTTTCGAAATTGTATTAAAAAATCTTGTTTACATTAACATCAACTTAATAATCAACTTTCACCCAGGAACTAATCACATTGGGCTATCTGTAACCTATAAATGAACTAACACTTAACAGCTAGATTGGCCGTTGGACTTTTTAAGCTTTGCAAAAAACGGTCAACTGGTTTATAACCAAGGCAAGGGTAACCACTCAACAAATTCTTTATTAATATCACCGGAGCCAATCTCAAGGAGTTTATCACCAAACAAGTCAGGGCTACTTTTACACAATTAGTTGAAATTTACTTTCATGCAATTAACATCATAATTTCAGTTGCAACACAGATCAATTATTGGTGCTAACAAGGCTGTCATTTATGTTGTGTAAAAATTATTCCAACATTAATCTTTCCAGTTATTGAAGTCACTTTATGTGGCACAATCCAAAGACGAATTTAAGAATTGTTGGGGTTTATTTTCACATGATAAACTATATCTTCTAAATTTTCATTTTTTAAAGATACAGGTATACCAAAAATTTTATTTCTATTTTTTGCTATTGTAGAAGATAAGTCGAGTAGAGAATCAAATTGATGAGTTGGATTAGAGATATTTATTTTACTTGTAGGTGTAGCCTGTGTAGCTCACTGGTGTACAAATATATCAACGTTTTAACAAAATCTACTGTAATGGAGTAATGACACTAAACCTGAAATTGATTACCAAACTGACTTCCTTCCATTGTGATCAAACTCAGCCAGCCAAGTCAGGTTAAATTACAGAAACTGATTATACAAGAGATTAAAAGTGTGGCTAGGCTAGTGGTTATTGACTGGTGACATGGTACAGACTTTGGTGTGGAAGGGACGGGTTCAATTCCCTGCATATCCACAAAACTTCAATGGGTTTGGACCGCTTTGGCTTTCCTTTAAAGCGTTAAAATCAAACTTCGGCTTCAATTCAAAATCCCACAGGCGTAGGCAGGAGTAAATAGATACCCCCGCCGCAGCAAACCTGCAGACTAAGCGAATTTCCATTTGACTGATTGGATTTACACTGAAATGTCTACTTAAAAATATAACATTTATTCTTGATTTAAATAGAATTAGTTTAACAAGTACTTAGGTTTGCTGCATCAGGGAGGGTAAAACTGATTTTTTTTGTAAAATGTGTAGATAGTTAGTAAGAAATAAAAACTTTTCCAAATTTGATCAAAATATGTTCACAAACAAGCAAACTACAACAGTTTACTTATTCTGCATAAGAATAACATGGGAATTTTAAATTTACAATTTTTTGGAATTTTCTCCGTAACCATTAGGCGCATAATAACGCTTCAATATACTAAATTATTTGTTTTTTTAAGCTCTACAAAATGGTTTGGAAAGAAATTGCTAAATTTTATGTTTTTTGGGTCAAAAATGGGAAAAACCTATTTTTACCCCATAAAACCCCCCGTCAACCCCCGTTCCCATGGTCAAATTATGCTGGATCGCGAACTCGTTCGAATAAACGTACTTTTACACGTTTGTACCAATTTTCATCAAAATCGGATCATTTTTGCTCGAGTTATCGTGCTGACGGACACATATATATAAATATATAAATATTTAAATATATATATATATATGAATTTGAACGGATGGTGTTTTTGGCCTCTGGGGACCTCAAAACGAAAAAAAAAATCGGTCCCGCGTCCAGGTCTTACCATGAGTACTACGGTAATAGCTTATTCCCTATATGGGAAATTCGCTAAAAGGTAATGGAATGTTAAACTGAAGTTAAAAGGAATAGAAATAATAAAACCTGTAAGTTCAATAATTACAAAATGTTTCTAAATTGTTGTTAGGCCTAATGCAAAGCTCTCATCTGATTCATTTACACTCGTCCTTCACATGCTACAAAATATGCCCTGTTGTAGAAATCTAATCTATTCTATTCTTGCAGCTCCCTCGTTCAAGTGACACTGCCAGAACTTCTACACAGCAGAAAGGATACCCGGTGTTGTTCTGGATCCACGGAGGAGGATTCCGCCGAGGAGCGGGCTCCCAGTATGGCCCAGCACATCTTTGTAAGAAGGGAGTCGTCGTTGTCACTATTCAGTACCGGCTTGGCTCTCTTGGTAATGTAAAAAGACTGTAGTTTATAATATAGATTTATTGGAAACTAGCAGTTACCCGGGGCGCTTTGCTGCGTTTAACAACTATCATTTTAAACTAGTGGACCTGTTGCTCAAATTCGAGCAATTGCAAAGTGTTACATGCGTTATTTCAAAACAAGTAACAGTCATAGATTCCGATGACTTCAAAGTTTCAACTCAAAGATAATGTACGGTAATCAATAACTTCACTCCAGTTATTGAAACTGAAAACGAACGCTCTTTGTATATCATGTGTGAGCTATGAACAGCTGTTTTAGTATGCAATTAATACAAATTATTCGTCTGTTTATGTAAACAAAATTTATTCTTCATAAGAAACTAGCGGAGTACCCGTGCTTCGCTACGGAAACTTTCAAATTGGTTGAAATTTTTAATAAATTAATGTTTAAGTGCCAACAACCTTCAGTCAACAATTCAGGTACAATATGTTTTGCTCCAAATCCAAACGATGTCATATTAAAGCAGCTATTAATGTCTCACCCGGTCCATAAAGTGTGTAGGCTCAGGGGTGGTTGCCCATGACCAGACTGCATAAAAGTTCAGGTAGGTGCTGCAAAAGGTATAGTAGCTCCATTGCACCACCATTGCAGCACATGCCGTGTTTCTTCTTTCCATTTTAAGGCTTCACAGTACTTACATTTGAACGTCATGGTACCTATCGCCACCAAGCTATTTCCTTCATAGTCTATATTTTCTTATTATATGTCATTACTGATAGATTTTTCACCATCCATTGAATCTTTGGCGAATGTCTTTCAGGATGAGTTTGTTCATACTTTTTGCTTGCGTTCTTCACCTGCTTTTAGCGAATTTCCCTATAGGGAAGTAGCTATTACCGTAGGTCCCATGGTAAGACCTGGGCCCGGGATCGATTTACTTTTTCATTTTGATGTCCCCAGAAATCAAAAACACTATTCGTTCAAATTTCATATAGATAAACTTATACTAATCTACTAAAAGTTTAAGGTAAAATATTAACTGGCTGCCTTCGTTTCCCAGACATTATTTTTTTGGAAATAAACCATACAAAATTCAATAGGTTTTTATAAACATTTTGGAAAAAATAAAGTCAATAAATTAATATACAAAAAAATAAAATAAAATAAAACTCCTTATTCATACACTATCGATAATCTATATATTAATTTGAAACTGTTTTTCTTTGTGACAGCTAATTTGAGAGAACGGCTTGGTGTAGAAACTCGGTAGGGGTCCCTAAGGAAAGGTCTTGGTCTGTAGATGAGCCATCAAAAGAGAAACGTGGTAAATTCCCTTGGGGCTCTGCCCCAATGGCCTTTAAATTCCCATCTCATGTTATTCTTATGGAGGAAAAACAGGTTTTTGTCCCAGCTAATTACAGAGAACGGCTGGGCGTAGAAACTTTTTAGGGATCTCTAAAGAAAGGTCTTAGTCTGTAGATGAGCCATCAAAAGAGAAACAAGGTAAATTCCCTTGGGGCTCTGCCCCAGAGGCCTTTAAAGTTCCCTCTTCAGATTTGTTTACATTACGACCATATGCATACATTTACACTACTTTTTAATGAAACAGCTGTTAATATTTAAATTGTGATTTACTAAATTTGTCAAAATGAAGTATTTGCAATTGTTTTTTTCTGATTTTAAATCGATTGTCTTCTGAATCGTGCCACGTTTTGCAATATAATGTTCTATTACCAAATCAAAGGAAAATCCTAATATCACAGTAACTCTTAAAATTATTTCTTATGGAGTTAACTTTTATCTATTGTACGGGTTGGTTTCTGACTTTTTTACCACTTCTTGGAGATTGCACGTAGACGATATTCTTTGGCGTATTGCATCTGTAGTAGACGATACTTGGTTGGTGTAATTTTTAAAATTACAATGGAAAAAAGCGAGAAATCCTGGACAATTTGATATATTAAAAATAAAACTGAATTAACATTGTGCTACTTGAGCAATAATTGAAAGAGCCGATTTGCAAACAATGTAAACAGGAAAGTCATAAAACAGTAGAAGTACAGTAGAAGAAATAGAAATAATGTTTTTTTTTCATTTATAATCGTTATTACATAGGTACAACATAATGCGGCTGTGGGTAGGAAACATTTGTAGAAAACACTAAAAACCAAGGCCAGCTTTTGAAAAAAGATAAGATATATTTACTAAAAATTTTGATTATATCTAACTGTTGTGTACATCTTGAGTATTTCCATAATCTTTGAGTCGACTCTTATAAAGTCATCGGAAATTATGACTGCTTTTCGTTTTAAAATAACGCATGTAATGCTTCGCAATTGCTCGAACTCGAGCAACAGGTACACTAGCTATTTATTAAATTAAAAAGGTAAACATAACTGTAAACAATCCTACTTTGACAGTTCTAATTTTGTATCACAGCCGCTTGGTTGAAGTTCGCAACAGTTGTCATAAATTTAGACAATTAATAGTAATGCACCCTGTTGGTACATTTTGTAACCTTTTAATGCTATTGATCATCACAGAATCAAATTGTTTTGTTGAAACAGCTGTTAAGATTCTTTAATTCCATTTAAATATGAGTACTCATAAGGTTAACATGGGAAACTCCAGAGACACTGGGGCAGAGCCCTTTTGGCGGATCTGCACCAAACTTCACACAAACCATCCTTCGAATAATGCTTAATAATGCCTGAAAGTTTCATTACAATATGTCGAGCGGTTTCGGAGTCTATAAGGTACATACATATAGTTCCACTTTTATAGATATACATTAAAGGTTATAGTTTATAGTGGCTTGTACCTAGAACATTCTATCAGAGACCTACTACACTGTTCTTCGAACTGACCTAAAAGCATGTAGTAATGGCAGCTCAAAATCCCTTAGGGTTGTTGTTGTCACTTTGCATTAATCAGAAAACTTAGATTAGATAGAATGTTAATTAAAAGCTTTAGTTAGTATGTATACTTTTTTCTGGAACATTTCTTTTTGCTGGACTTCAACACTTGATATCTCAAATTCCTTGAAATCCTGTTTTGTTTATAAATCCCCCTAGATAACAATGTTAAAAGTGCCTGCATATATTGAAGGTTTAACATATTTAACACAAATAAGTAGATTTTTAACGGTTTTCAATTAATAAAACTCCACCTCTATAATTAAAATATTCCTGTTATCGAGTCTCATAGCTCGAAGTTTACCTACATATAAGTTAAAGTTTGCACGATGTGCCTCAAAGTTTTGCCGTACAGTGCAAGTCAGCTGTGTTTTGATTTTATGTTGGGACATGAAAATCCAACTTCCTTTGTTTGTTTGGCAATGGCTAACTGTTAGTTCCAGTTACTGTATTGAGAGGCAGTTTGCGTCATAGTCTCAGTTAAGGGTAATTGTAAAACGTTGACACATGACAAAAAAATTGGTCAATGATAAAAAATTATAAATAGAGATATTTTTATTTAATCTGGTACAAGTGTGGTTTAAGATATTGTGATCAAAATGTCATGAAAACTGTCCCAGTGAAATAACCATTGCATTCTAAGAGCTAAATAGAATCAAATAATAAATACATCCATATTTTATCCAACAAAAAAAAAGTTTTAACCTTTTTATTCGCTAAACAATTATATTTGCGTTTTAGACCTAAGAGGTTTTATTTCAATACTGATTGTACATGCCTATTGTCAAATGCTGCAAAAAAAAACCACAATCTCTTTTTCTCAGGGTTCCTCAGTGCAGGACGTGAAGAGCTCCCTGGAAACGCTGGATTGTTTGACATCCTCGCGTCCCTAGACTACACTCGCCGCTACATTCAGTTCTTTGGAGGAGACCCTTCACGCATCATACCAGCTGGACAGGGTACAGGGGCTAGTGTTGCCATGATGCTCGGCCTATCACAGTTCTCTAAAGGTGTGGTTAGGATTTATTAACTCCACTTAATCCTTATTATGCTATTTTATTTTACTTAAATATACTATCCAAACCCTGTTCAGTATGATCTTTGACAATTACTCCTTCACAAAATGTTGGTGGTTAAAGGGAAACGATTACATCCCCTCCACCCCACCCTTTTACTTTAAAACAACAGCTGACAGCTGATATAAACCTTAACCCTTCCTGGACCTTAGTTTACCTATGCAGCACTTTTGTCCAAAATAATTTATAAACATTTTTTAATTTGTGAATTAAATTTCTTATTCTTCGAGAAAAACATTTCTTGTACATCGGATATAATTGAACAAAAAGAAGTTTTTAGGAAGATAGAAAATGTGTAGTTATAGAAAATCAACTATAACAATAGATGTCGTAATAATCGGCAGATATATCCACCTACCGTCCACTATGCACAAAATGCTAACGGATATATCCGCCTACAGTCTGGGAAGGGGCTGAAAATGGGGGGAACCCAGGAAACCTTTCCCTTAAACTGCCAACTGCCTGAATTTTGTGGACGGACTATAATAGAGTAAAACATTGCATTTCTATATAAAAATTTTAGATATTTTAAAAATGAAAATTGACCACTTAAATTGAGTTATTAGCATGTTAATGGTGATGGAATTATTAATATAAGCCACAAGAACATATTACTTGACGAAACATCAGACTCTCATAAAGGAAAGGATATACATTCTTCACAAGAGGAAGAAGAAGTCACATATATAGACAAGTAAAACGTCCTGACATTATTATTGATAGCCTACCTTAGATTGGGGCATATACTATACCAAGGATAAGTGGATAAGTTATATATCTTTTCTTTAACAGATGTATATTACTGATTTGCATTGATTACAAAAACTTGTTAATCAAACCAATCACAAATACTTTTTAATCAAACCAAATTTAAGGGTTAACTGTAAACTATAGCAGCTTTCTTGCCAGATAAAATATTAGTATATTTGTTAGTATAATATGTATGTAATACATGTTAGTGTCCAAAAGTCAATAATGTCATAAAGTAATTAACAACAGGTACCTATGAATTTATTTATGTACAGTGTAGTAATCAATCACAATAAAATAGTAGTGTTCATTAATTTTTCTCATAAAGTATTTGGTGTTTTAAATTAGTAGATTCACATTTTTGTATTAACTTCTGATGGTTTAGAACTTCTTTAGTCCAGACAAGGGTGTAGTTCTGTCTGGACAATATGGAGTGCACTAGAGTAGCATTGAAGTGATTGGTTTATGTAGGGTTTATCCGTGGAGTGATCGCCATGAGTGGTTCAGCCATCTCCTCGTTTGCTGTTGACCAAGAACCAGAGAAGACGTCTCGTAGCGTCTCAGCTGTGGAGGAGACTTGCCAGAGCCAACAGGACACTCTAGCGTTTGTGAGATGTATGCAGAAACTACCCTTAGAGACAATCCTGAGAGCAGATGATAAACTACAGGTCAGATCAGTACATACAGTGTCAACAAAATTAAGCTCTTAATTCATATAGCTTGTTGGAGAAATTATTGTTCTGCATGTTGTAGTCGTGCCAATATCCAATTAATGTGTACTAGAGTATCATTAGTCTGATCATAGGATAATAAATAAGTTCATATAATCTGATAGTTTTCTTGGCTCACGGAGTCTTGGTGGGAGGGATGCATTGAATGAATTAATTAATAGTGCCTATTAGCGAATTTCCCTGTAGGGAAGTAGCTACTGTATTACCGTAGGTGGCATGGTAAGACATGCCTGGAACCGATTTAATTTTTCATTTTGATGTCCCCAGAGCAGAGGCCAAAAACACCATTCGTTCAAATTTTTATTTATGTATATATATATATATATGTCCGTGAACACGACTTGAGTAATTTTTGTCCGATTTTGATGAAATTTGGTTTGAAGGTGTAAGGCGGGATAAACTTGAATGAGTTCGCGAAGCAGCACGATCAGACCATGGGAACGGGGTTTTATAGGAGGTTTTAAGGTGTAAAAATTGGTTTTTCTAATTTTTGACCCTTCAAACATAAAGTTTCTCAATTTCCCTCTAGACCTTCTTAAATAGCTTAAAAAAACAAATAATTCAGTATATCAAAGTGTTTTCGAACGATTATTGGTTACGGAGAAAACTCAAAAAATTGTAAATTTAAAATTCCTATGTTATTCTTATGGAGAATATTGTAAAATGTTGTAGTTTGCTTGTTTATGGATATATTTTGATTAAACTTGGCAAATGTATTGATTTTATACTAAGCTATGATTATTTTACTTCAAAACATACTTTATTAGTTTCCTTGTAGCAGCAAACTTAGGTACAGCTCGTGACACATAAGCTGGCACTTGGCCTAGCGCGGGTAGTGTTGGCGGGACCGGTGGAGGTATGGAAAAGACCGGACTGCAAACATTTCACCTGCCTCACGGGGTTGACTCCCCTTGCATTATGTACAGCAGTCGCAGCTAGTCTGGGCACGCGGCCGCGCTATGGCGGGGGGTGTAGAGGGGAGTGTTTATTGCTCATTTCCAAAAATATCTGGCCCACACGGCTCTCGGGGGCTGTTCAGTGCCTCAGTGCTGTCTTCATGGCTTTGGCGTGGGGGACGGTTAGTACACAAGGGTCCGCGCGACCAGACTAGCTGCGACTACTGTACTTGAGCGCCTTCATATGGGTCACGAGGACAGTTGATGCAACCCGCATGACGGGACATAATGTTTTTGAAATAGGTACTAGTAGCGATCAACCAAGTGCCAGCTTAGATGTCACGAGCTGTACATGTTAAACCCAATGTTAAATATACAGGGTGTTTTTTTTTTAAACTTGCATCTTTATTTATGTAAAAACCGCAATAGATAGAAATATGCAGTTTGCGGGAATCATCTATTGACGTAGGGGGCCCAATTGTTTTGAATTCAAAATTACATTCACATTCCCCCCCTTTCCCCCCTGCCCCCAACTTATTTTTTTTTAATAGCAAGGTACCCCTTGTGACATATAAAATGAAAGAGCATGAAAAAAAAAAATGTTTAATGAAAAAAAAATTGAAAATCGGTTCATAGCTTTGCGAGATATTTCCCCCCCCCTTCCCCGAAACTTAATTTTTTTTTAATAGCAAGGCACCCCTTGTGACATATCAAATGAAAGAGCACGAAAAAAGAAAATGTTTGGTGAAATTTATTTTTGATTTGATATGTCACAAGGGCGGGTACCTTGCTATTAAAAAACAAGTTATGGGTAGGGGAAAAGGGGGGAGATTATCTCACAAATTCATAAGCAGATTTTCAATTTTTTTTCACCAAAAATTTTCTTTTTTCATGCTCTTTCATTTAATATGTCACGAAGGGTACCTTGCTTTAAAAAAAAAATTAAGTTCCGGGGGGGGGGGAGGGGGGGGAATATCTCACAAATTTATGAACCGATTTTCAATTTTTGTTCATCAAACATTTTCTTTTTTCATGCTCTTTTATTTGATATGTCACAAAGGGGTACCTTGCTATTTAAAAAAATTAAGTTGGTGGCAGGGGGGAAAGGGGGGGAATGTGAATGTAACGTTGAATTAAAAAAAAATTGTGCCCCCTACGTCAATAGATGATTCCCGCCAACTGCATATTTCTATCTATTACGGTTTTTACATAAATAAAGATGCAAGTTTAAAAAAAAACATCCTGTACAGTATAGATTAATTGCAGGCAAGTGGAAATTCGCTTAGACGGCAGGTTTGCTGCGGCGGGGGTATTTTATTTATTTACTATCCGTGTGCTCGTTCTACGTGTACAGAGATCTTGTAGTAAGTTGAAACCTTCTTATATTCAAAAAAGGAGTTGGTTTGCATATTTAGTGTGCATTCTTTTAGATATTCTGGCAAAACTATTACTGTATAGAAATACATACAATCCTTCGCAAATAAATACAATAACGGACAGTTTCAAGCCAAAACGAATGCTTCACAATTAAATGTCTCCCGATCGTGTTAGTCCATATTTGATATCCAATGATAAAAAGAATTGCTTTATAGATCTATGAGGCATAGCCCTAAGGCAGGCCTATAATTGAAAGTTACTTTTCCACACCAGTTAAAAGTAGTTAAATAAAATACTACCTCAACCTCACCACTGCACATTTTATTCCGGTTAAAATTTTAATTAACAAAGGTGCTATTGTCATTTCCACGAAACACTGAGATATAAGGACATTAATGTGTTCAAAAGACATACACACAAAAATACGGAATCGAATTAGGGAATTTGCTACGCTATAAACAAAGCAAAGTACATACAAAATAAGTATTTGGAATTTTTGATAGTGTCGTAATATTTTATGATAATCATATTTAGGCCTACTTACGTGTAGTGATATCTGTAATGACAATTTATATTTGCTTTGCTTAATCCGAAGATGACTCGAAATGGTGTTGAAATGACGGCATAGTTTGTGAAACGAAGTTCAAAAGACAATTTAGATTCGTAATAATTTACAATAGCTATTCCCTTCAAATATTTATCATTGCTATTGTTATTAATGCAATTTATTGTTTTCATAGTTACTGTTATCTTTACTACCTATTGTTTAAGTGTAACCACCTCTGACAAATCTTTAATGAATAAGCTGAACAGGAAAGGACTTCCTTTACAACCTTGCCTTAAGCCAGTCTTCGTTTCAAACTCATTTGAAATGCCGCCCTGCGACAATGACACCAAACCCCTGCGCGGACGGAAGTCCATTAATGACGCTGATTGATGAAATTTTTAATATAAGTGATCTTCTATCGATAGTATCAAACGCACTTGAAAAATCCACAAAAATGCATACAACTTGTCACCTTTCTCCGCCAAACGTAGTTTGATCATTCATGCCAAATTTAAAATGTTATCTATAGTGGAATAGTTTTGTTTGAAACCCGCCTGGAACTCCAATAAGATGTGGTTTTCATCGACCGAATTTTGAAGTCTTATTATTTTGCATTCCTATAGATATGTTTTACCAGTACAATTATAACAGACAATCCTCTATAATTTTGAACTAAATATCACCCTTTTTAAGCATTGAAAAATTATCGATTTCTTAAAGCTTTCTGGTATGACCTGGTATTCCAAGAAATGGCATTATAAACACCAAGTAGCTTAGTAAAAAATAGGTCTGGGACATTCATAAAAAACTCATTTAGTGAGTCGGTGGCTCAGTCGGTAGCGTCGCGGACTTCGGGCCCAAGGCAGTAGTGTCGTGGGTTCGGATCCTGGTCACTGCCGATAACATTTTATCAGTACAGTTCACCTTTGTACTGTACCGGCTCACTCCTTGCTTTGCTGTAAACGATCCACGCACGGGCGCTTAGTCTATGTGGACGGGCAAATGCAAGGTTAAAAGAGGCCGCCAACCTCTTTTTAAAAAAAAAAAAAAAAATAAAAAAAATAATAGCCGTTGATATCTAGGCCCGGATTATTATTATTTTTCCAGCTTGACAAAACAACTTTTAATACTAAAAAGTTAGTCTCTATCAAGATAATCATCGGCATTAAAAATTCTACAAACGATATAGTTCTTTCTACCAGAGGATTTAGTAAAGTTTTTTTTTCTACAGTTACCTAACAATGTACATGTTCTCTCACTGATTTTACATTTCTTACTCAGATTACGTTATGTGTGAGTTTATTGCTCGCCAACACATTTTGGAATCTTAAGAAAAAGTAAGATTTGAGATTAAAGAATAGTTATACTGTATTTGTTCTTCTTTCCTGTACTTATCTTTCCTGAAGATTCGAGATTCAGGAGTGATGCATTGCCAACCATATAGAGTTTTAGTCACCCCTTCCTCCATAAATATGTATTTTAGAAACATTTTATGATTAAAGGTGTACATTTAGGCTTCAAGCATTTGTTTAGGTTTGATTAATGTCAAATGATCATAAAATGAAAGATTCGCATAAAAATGGTTTTTAAAACCGGGCAACGATTCAACCGCTTGAACCATCAAACCATGAATACAGTTTTGTCAACTAATAACATGATTGGGCCATCATCTTTGCAGCCTTAAAAATAAAGATGACCCGATTCCCATTGTAGGTCCTTCAACACTTATTTCATGACTTTGGATTCAATACAGACTCATTTTGATCTTCTATCTGCATCAAAATCGTTATGGTGATCTTATCTATAAAGTGGCAACATCATAGTAATCCCTCACACTACACATTGACATGGTAATCATCTCCCATAATCACGGAAAAGTTGTAAATGTCCAATTCCCCAAACAAGAAATGTTCAGTTCTTTAACAAATAAATTTTTTGAATGCTCATTTATTATTTCACATTTTACAAATTTTTTGCGTTCTGAATTTTTATTGGAGCCACCTTTGCCCGGATTACTACTATATAAGAGCTCTTTTGATTAAAACACAATCTATGATTTACTCGTCAAAATAACAGTCGCCATTGTTGCAGTCTGAAAGACTATCGAGTGGTAACCCTGGACAGTCATATCTCAACAGTATCTCCAAACTACTCAACCCCGGTCCAACAGTCGAGGGGGAAGATGACTTCAGGTTCCTCCCTAACTTCCTGACGTCCAAGCCCTCTGACTCCCTACAGAAGGGAGATATTGCCAAGGTGCCGTTGTTGACTGGCGTTACTAAAGAGGAAACCAGCACCAGTGCCAAGGGAGGTAAGTATACAGTAGTTTACTAGGTGCAGGGCAGAAAATTTAGAAAAAATAACTTCTCTAAACACTATTTTTAAGCATTTAGAAAGTAACATCAGGGGCCCATTTCATAATAAACTACAAGTTACAAGTTACAACTTGTAACTTGTAATTTCCATTAGATTTGCATTGGGCGATCAGCTGATTTACTAATAATATTAGTTTGTACTTTATTATGAAATGGGCCCCTGGTATTAATAATATGAGTAAGCAATAAATTGAATCTATATAATTAATACGCTACATGAAACTTTGTCGGTTGAACTCCTCCGCCATTTCTTAACCGATTTTATCCATTGACCTCTCATTGGAAAGAGCGTGTTGCGTAGATTTGCAAACTGGCCTTACATTTTTGAAAAAGTCCCTTGGGCTCTGCCCCAGTGGCTTTGAAAGTTCCCATGTTATCCTTATGAAGAACATAATTGTTTACATTTTAATCAGCTGTATAATTTAATTGCTGTTATTTATTTTTCAATTCAATGAAACGCATTGAGTTCATTTGTTTACTATTTGAGTTTGTGTAAACATAACCCTCAAGACGGAACGTGTTAGTATGGTTGTATCTTAAATTTGTGTATTTATCGTTGTTTTGTGTCGCCATGACGGATCGTGTTAGTATGATTGTAACTTAAATTTGTGCATTTATCGTTGTTTTGTGTAGCTATAATTTGTTTATTTGTTGTTTTTTTTTCTCTAAATGCCCCCGACGCGACGACAACGAAACATAGACAGGATCGTGATAACGACCGCAGCTACAGAACAGTGGCGCGTAATAGGCTTAACTCATCACAGTCAGCACCTGACCCTGGACAATCTCAACTATTAGGTTACAAATGCGCCCTAACACTACCCAAAAACGACTATTCGTTTCAATTGGCCCTCTATCAATGACCTGTGTACAGCGAGGCATTTTGAGAAGGGGAAACCCGGCCGGAATGCTTTAGGTTTATCAATAACGAAGAAAACATGGTCTGAGTTACACACCGGTAATCTTTGAGTTGACTCTTTTAAACTCATTGTAAATATGACTGTCATTCGTTTTGAAATAACTCATATAATACTTTGCAATTCCTCGAATTCGAGCAACATGTACACTAGTGAACATTAATTTATTTATAAATTGCAAGTTTATTGTTTCAGTTGTGGGTAGACTAGTTTTTTAATACGTTTAATTACAAACTACAAAGGCTCTTTTGTTTTATGATAAAATTTAACTTTACGTTTTCCAATCCGTGAACCCTTGATATTTTGATAAAAATGTGATTGTAATCAACTTTATACTTTTTAAATTTTATTTAAAAGGCAAGTAACTAAACAACTTAACTTAAGTTGTCAATCAATTAAAAAATTGATTAATCGTTGCATTACCACGCCTGCTAACACCCGACAGTTTAGGCACCATAAAATAAATTATAGAAGATATTTGGTCTGAAATGTACGCATTAGACGGTCGTTTGTGATGGCTGTACCGAAACTGCCACGACATTTTACGATCATAATCCATACCGTAACTACCACATCAATTAGGAAGGATTATAAGGGTGTTTTCTAGTAGGGTAGACATACTCTGAAACTGCCACAGCGGATTCCTCAGGTAGGGGAGGTCAGATTATAAACGTGCAGGGAGAAAAGGGAATGAGAAAATTCCCTTATTGACCAGAATGAAATGAAATGAAATGAAAATGAAATGAAATGAAAAATTCTTTATTCAACCAGGCAAAGTTAGGGCTACATGGCCCTCTCTTACACTTAACCTGACAAACCCAAATATAAATAAACGAAAATACAATGCAATTACTTAATCTAATATAAATATATATATTTAACACATCAAGAACAGATTAAACAAAAATGTAATTTTACAAAATAATAATTATTATAAACTAGCTGTGTGCCCGTTCTACGCACAGGGATCTTATCGTAGTCAGTGGAAAGAACAGTATAGTTGGTTTGCATATTTTCAGATATGCTGGCAAAACTATTATATAAACCAAAATAGGCCACGAACTATTGATACATAAACAACGTAAAGCGTTTAAACAATTCATGATGGTTTGCTTAATAAATGTTTTACTAAAATGCGTTATCGTTTTCGTAGCATAAACTAATATTTTGGAATCCAGACAGAAAAAAGCAAAACTTATAGACATCAATTAAATTGAATACGCCTGTAATAAATAAGGTGCGACACCAACGATACGGTACCGGTAACTAATTTGTAAATTACAGTGATGTGTTGGTACGTAAAAATGATTCTTGCTGCTACCAACGGTTCTAAGGAAAAGAACCAGTACCAAAAACCAATGTTTACAGTTAAGAACTATAGTACATACGACCAATTATATGCGTTAATCAAGTCCCGAGGTTATTGATCTCTTGCTCTTTTGGATTTTCTCTTAAAATAATTATTGACAATCAAAGTTATTTGCCATTAATTGCTTTATTTGTAAACAACTTTTAATGTAAACTTATCGGTTTTAGTTTAAAAAAAAAAAACAACCTTATACAAACAACTTTTTGCTATTTAATAGATTAAGTATTCTCTAAACAATGATTGGTATAGGCTACCTATCTATTAACATTAGAAGGAAATATGACAAAAATCACTAAACGTTGGGGTTTTTGGACGTTTGTAATTTTATTTTTTAAGTAGGTAGGCCGTGTATTCTAGGGAAAAGTACCGGTATCAAGGATTGTCGTCGAAAAGGTTGTTATGAATAATTGGGTAGGCGTACATACCCGAGAGATGGCCTACTATTTGGCTGTATGGTCCAGCGATTGCCTCACACGGTGAGTAAGAACTATTGACTATAGATATAGTCAATGGTAGGAACAGAAAGTGACACATTAGAAAAGCGAGTTTAGCATCATCCGTAAACCTCTGTTACAATCACCCACTGCAGCTGTGATTTTTTACTTTACACTTTACACAACCACCATTGAAGTGCCGTCAATGAGTGGAAACCTTGTTTCTAAGCTATTGGCAACGATCATTATTACATTTAAGTTTTCCAGCCGTATACAACATTGATTCAAGGTCTTCTTTCTGGTTATCAAAACTTAAGAATAATAATTTTGTATACAAAGAATCTCTGGTTCCTGACCTGGATGATGCATAGTTATTTAATTTCATTTACGGTTACACTATTACACTATATTATTGCACTTGCGATTAATTAAATCCGTTATGTAAGAAAAACGTTTTTAATCTCACTTGGTTGGGAGTTGCTTTCAAAACAAGATCGAAAATGGTTGCGGTATTTGTAAACATACCAGTGACAGCTAGAAAAAATAATCTTGATCCGAACAGCTGTTCGTTATTTCATAGATGATTATGTGATAAAAATTGGACGAAAACGTGACAAAAATTTCATAAAACTGCATTTTTGAACGTCCGTAGTTTTATTTACAACGTAGTGAGGCCATATTTTAATGGCTAAAGGCACTCTCGCCAATCCAGTGAATACATTAAAATGACTTGGATCTTGATAGGTAGGCCTACTCTCGTTTTCCTGGAGAAGATTGCGTAAAATGCAATCTTGAGTGTTACAGACAGACAGAAAGACAGACAGACAGAAATAGAGATAAGACTCGTTTCTGCTTCTTTAATGTATTAAATGTAAAAATAACCTAAAAATATATAATTCTGAGCAATGTACAGACAAAACTCTAATTTCATTTATATAGATAGAAAAGACAAAAGAAAACAAGTTCACACTCTCACACGCACACGCACCAGCAATCGCGCAAAGACGCAGAAGCCCTAGGACACGCCAGCCGAGACCATTTGCTCAAAGTAATGATTTTTTAGTGCCGCCACAAACTGGGAACGTTTATCAAGGGATGTAATGTGCAGGGGTAGGCTGTTCCAAAGACGGCAAGCGGTAACAACAAAAGCCCTGTCATAAGCAGTGGTCACATGATGAGGTATACGCAATGTGATCGAAGAAGAACGAGAAATTCGTGAACTACCCTGAGACACAAATTTAAAATCGGATATAAAATATTTTGGGGAGCCTGATTTCAAAATTAAAAAGACCAATGACAAAATTTTGATGGATCTTTGATAATTTAATTTCAAGATGTTTGCTTCAAGGTAGTATGGCGTGATATGCTCCTCACGCCGCAGACCATAGACAAATCTCAAACAATAATTCTGAGACCGCTGGAGCATACCCGTCTGAATCACAGTCATGTCATTGATCAATGAGTTACAGTAACTGAAGTGGGGCAGTACAAGTGATTTGATCAAATGAAGTTTTGTGTGTTGTGGCAAAAAGTTCTGCAATCTTTTCAGTGAATGTATGGAGGCAAAAACCTTTTTCCGTGTGTCCGTAACTGCTGTGTCCCAAGTAAGTGAAGAGTTGAAAGATATGCCAAGATTCTTTACTTTGACGTAGTAGGGAAGTGCTTTGCCGCTCACTGTGATTGGGTTTATTGAGTCTAAGTCAATTGAAGGGCGAAGTCGAGGGTGGCAGATTACAATCGGTTTTGTCTTTTCGTGATTTAGTCTCAGTCCATGATTCTCAGTCCAAGTAACAATTCGGTTGACATCTTCATTGATCTTTCTGACACATTCATTTTCGTTGTTTGCAGTAAAATGGTCATAGATTTGTAGGTTGTCAGCGTACATGTGGTGTTTACAGTTGATCAAGGTCGAGTTTATGTCGTTGATGTACAGTACAAAGAGCAGTGGTCCAAGGATTGATCCTTGGGGCACACCGCATGTAACAGTCATCCAGTCTGATCTTGTGTCACCAACCTCCACACATTGCTGCCTATCTGACAGATAAGATCTCAGCCATTTAAGAGAATTCTGGGAAAACCCTAATGCCCTTAATTTCTGCACCAGCAAGTCATGATTAACACAGTCAAATGCTTTGGAAAAATCAAACGGAGTTAGAATCGTTCCTTGTCGACGCTCCATAGCAAGTCTAATGTCTTCAGTCACTCGAAGGAGTGCGGAGTGCTGTTTCTGTACTGTGCGCTGATCTGAAACCGGATTGATAGTCAGATAAAATGTTATTTTCAGTGATGAATTCAGTGATTTGACAGTGAACGATCCTTTCTAGGCCTTTAGGAGCGGGCAAAATACTTATCGGCCTGAAATCCCCAACCAGGGTTAGTGCTGAGATCTTTTTTAGGGGACGGACAATGGCAGACTTCCAAAATGAAGTGAAAGAACAGTGCCTCAAAGATGCATTAAAAATTAACATGATACAGTAGTAGGAAGGATGGTGTAGAGGATGTCTTTGATAAAGCGGATAGGTATCCCATCAGAACCAACAGCATTGCTTCGGATTCTGCGAATAGCCATCAAAACATCAGACTGAATAACTGGTTTGAAATTAAACTTGGGATATCCCAGGTGCGGGGTTTGAGAGTTGACTAATTCATTCAAGTAACTATTGACTTTATGCTGATTGGTATTTTGACTGCTAGAAGAAAAGTTAACGTTTAACTCATTTAGAGGGATGTGTACTGGTTGAGAATCAAATTGTTTCCCAAGCCCAAGACTTTTAACTTTACGCCATAAAACTCTCGATGGCTGTTTTTGATTTTCAAAAAGTGTATGAATGTATCTGGGTTTGGAATTTCGCAAAAGCTGTTTAACTCGATTACGAAGATTACAATATTGTTGTTTAAGTTCGATATTGTTGGAGTGCCTAGCTCTTCTACCCAAGCTATCCCGTGTAGCCATCAAACTTTTAATTTCAGGGGTCATCCATGGAACAGGTCTTCGTTTTGTCACGCGCTTTGTACGACGCAGAATGACGATTTGGAAAGAGAACACTTTACAAGTTTACATTGCCCATAACTTAGTTAAGCTAGTTTCATCTTGTTACTAAGAGTTCATATTAACTTTTGTATTCACATCAAGTAACAATGGAAAAGTCATTTAATTTACCGAAGGCAGAAAGAAATAATTTTGTTTTGAAGAATTAAGATTGTGGTTTATTTAAAATTGATCTTACAAAATGTACATCTTAATAGTACATCTTACATTATGACCATAAAACGTCGTGGCAGTTTCGGTGTCCCCGTTTGTGATTGTTGATTAGCTCAGAGGTTTAGGCCTACTTTCCTCGGTGGTGTGACAACAGGACTGAATTGACCTGGTCCGGCCAATTCTGTTAATTATAACTGTTTAAATTATTTGAATAAAGACAAGTGCTGACAAATTTACACTGAGGTAGGGTTATGGGAATTATGCAGGGAGACCGGGGTCATTCCACTCAGTCCTACTGTCGCACCCTTGTAAAGTGCCACATGACTGCCGCAGGGGGCTCAGGCTGACCCAGGTCAGATTCAGTCCTGTTGTCGCTTTACCACATTCATTTTGTGGACTACAAGATATTGGGAGGGGTTGGTTGGTGGAATGACTTTGACTGCAATAATACATAGACACACAATCCATAGTCGCGAACAAGGGAGTTTATTAGCTTAGTGATTGTATTTTCATTCATGGAGTAATCAGTTTGACGTCTTTGAATGTATGACATTATAGTTCCACAACTTCCAGACTAATAAATTGAACTTTACAACATTATCCAGCAGTTATATACAGTTAATGTACTGTATTAAAACTAACCTTTCCATCACAAATATGTATATATTTACTTTGTAACACTGTTAGGTTGTTGCAGCTTTTACATTGTTCAATTTAATGTTAGTCTATTTTCATACTAAAATGCTAAGGGAAGGGAGGGAAATAGGTCCACCTCGTAGGAAGTGGTGAAGGAATGGTAAAGGCAAGGGGTGCGGAGATTAATGTATCTGCACTACTAAAATGCTTTTGGAAGGGAGGGAAACAGGTCCACGACGTAGGAAGTAGTCAAGGCGAGCAGTGTGGAGTGTGGGAACCGTTTGTGGCAGTTAGATTAATGTATCTGCAATACTAAAACGCTATGGGAAGATAGGGAAACAGGTCCACGTCGTAAGAAGTGGTAAAGGAAGTGGTGAGCAGTGCTGAGTGTGAGTGTGGGAACAGTTTATGGCAGTTAGATTAATATACATTTGTTATTCTAAAATGCTATGGGAAGGGAGGGAAAACAGGTCCACAACATAGGAAGTGGTAAAGGCGAGCAGTGCGGAGTATGGGAACCGTTTGTGGCAGTTAGATTAATGTATCTGCAATACTAAAATGCTATGGAAATGAAAACGGAGAGGTATGGAAACAGATCCAAGACCATTTTGTGGCAGTTAAATAAATGTATCAGTAATACTAAAATGCTATCGACTGGGGGGGAAACAATGTCCATGTCGTAGGTAGTAGCGAAGGAAGTGGTAAAGGCAATCAGTGCAGGGTGTGATAACCGTTTGTGGCATTTAGAAACTTATACATATATTGGATTGTTAATCATTTTTAGGTGATGTTTGTATGTAATATATATCATCATTTTAAGCCATACGATCTTTTTAAGAAGACTATTTTACACTGTGCTGCGGCAGTTTGGCTTCGTTTTGTTTATGATAGGCCTAATGAAAAATAAGGAAACATTTCTAAAAACAAACTTTTTTCGGTTAATCTATTGTGTATAATTTTAAAGAGATGAATTAACAAAAGACGTTTTGTACAGGAACGATGGATTTAGCACCTATCGATAATTGTTGGAAATCCACCACAGATTTTACCAATGACTTCGGTTTTTTAATGGATGATTGTTGTTAACTGAGATTTGTTGGATTTGCTAATACAAATAACATTGTGTTCACCAGTGACACCGGTAAGTGCAGTTGGACTCGCCCATTGTCGTGCTCACGTTCACTCATCCTGTTAAGCGCAGAATAAGCATACTACTAGTATAGTTTACACAATGCTAGGTAAACAATTATTGAAAAATGGTTATACCGTAAATGAATAATAAAATAAACAAATCAATTGCAAAATGGAGTATGAAATATAAAAATCTAAAATTTAAATGTCTATTGGTATCTCAAAACTAATTACCGGATTTTTTTTAGACAACTAATGACTGAGACAATAAAATACAATAACGTTTATAGCAGTCAAAGTACCCAGGAAGAGAATAATTGTGTTTCAAATATGTGCGAGCTAAAGGTTTACACTGAAACCAAAACAATAATAATATTTAATTTCCTTATTTTTATTTAACAATTATACTTATTTAACTTATTTTATAACTAAAAAATGGCGGACATCTTACTAAAACGATAAAATGATTGATTACAGCAATTAGTTAACAAAATTACTGGGAATCTAAAGTAATCCAGCTCCGAACAGACCAAATGTTTAATTTGTGTAATTAAGTGTGTGAATTAAAAATAACTAATTAATTAATAAAATAAACCTCGAAGGATCGAATGAGACTGAAATAAGACAATAAAACCAACATGAATTACACAGATACAAATTTAAATTATCGTGAAAGAAGGACAGAGGGTTTAGTTTCAAATTAATGAGGAGAGACTATTAATGTCTAGTGCTCACCCTTGGTCATAGGTCGTGTAACGTGTTAGCGTCGAGTGTCCATCGGAAGAGGAGCCGGCCGGCATCACAAGAGGAGTAGTCAACACTTAAGAGCACTTCACGAGGGTAAATTTAAAATACCCTCGAAGGAGAATAGAGTAGAGGTAATAAGAAGGGGAGAGTATATGGTATACAGACGAAAATGGCAACGAACCGGTAGAAATGACCGTATAAGAAACACACTTTGTGTCAGCTGCTACAACGAGAAAGCCGTATTTTTAGCTCTTCCGCTTGGCAGCCACTGACACCGGCTACTTCACAAACAGATAAAAAACAGTTTTGCAACCATCCAAATGATAATTTCTAAATGCTAACTATTTTTTATCAAAATATACAGGCAAAAATTGGAAAACATTGAATTATAAAACTAAACAACAGGTTACTTATTAAACCTTTTATTTCTACAAAATTGTTTAGAAAGAAATTGCAACGTTTTGTGATTTCAGGACAAAAATTAGAAATAACCCACTTAAATGGTTTTCATGTGGTTATATAGTAAATATGGTTCTCTCCTGTATGAACTAAAGAATGTTTCTTCATATTGATTTTGGATGTAAAGGATTTTCCACATGCAGTACACTTATAAGGTCTCTCTCTCCTTTGTGAATGAATGATGGGAAACCCTTTAATTTCCCACATGTACTGCACTTGTAAGGACTCTATCCTGTATGAACCAATGAATGATTCTTCATATTGCTTTTGGTTGTAAAGGATTTTCCACATGTAGTACACTTGTAAGGACTCTCTCCTGTATGAACCAATGAATGATTCTTCATATTGCTTTTGGTTGTAAAGGATTTTCCACATGTAGTGCACTTGTAAGGACTCTCTCCTGTATGAACAAATGAATGATTCTTCATATAGCCTTTTGTTGTAAAGGATTTTCCACATATAGTGCACTTATGAGGTGTCTCTCCTGTGTGTACTAATGTATGTCTCTTCAAAATGTCACTGGTTTGGTAGGATTTTCCACATGTAGTACACTTATAAGGTCTCTCCCCTGTATGAACCAATGAATGCTTCTTCATATAGCCTTTGGTTGTAAAGGATTTCCCACATGTAGTACACTTGTAAGGACTCTCTCCTGTATGAACCAATGAATGCTTCTTCATATTGCCTTTGGTTGTAAAGGATTTTCGACATGTAGTGCACTTGTAAGGACTCTTTCCTGTATGAACCAATGAATGATTCTTCATATAGCCTTTGGTTGTAAAGGATTTCCCACACGTACTGCAATTGTAAGGTTTTTCTCCGGTATGAATCAAAGAATGTCTCTTCATATCCGATTTGGTTGTAAAGGATTTTCCACATGTAGTGCACTTGTAAGGACTCTCTCCTGTATGAACCAATGAATGATCCTTCATATAGCCTTTGGTTGTAAAGGATTTCCCACACGTACTGCAATTGTAAGGTTTTTCTCCTGTATGAACCAAAGAATGTTTGTTCATATTGCCCTTGGTTAAAAAGGATTTTCCACATATAGAACACTTATAAGGACTTTTCCTAATGCGTATCAACACATGACTCTTTACTTGGTGTAGTTGGAAAAAGGTTTTCTCACATGTCAAACATTTTAAGGAACGCTCTCCCGTGTGATATAATATATGAATCTTCATTGCCGATTGAGTTGAACAACTTTGCTTACATATTGGACACTTGAGAGGAATATTTTTTCTTCGAGTTAACATTTCCATTCTTTCAGTTTTAATATTTGTGAAATTTACCACAAAAGCTAATTACTAATCAGAAAAATCTACAAATCAGAGAAATATTTAAATAGTAACCTTGTTTGAAGGACATGTTAAATGTAGAGCAGTTACGATTGGCTACCTCTTTCATTTAATATTGACTCGTCCTGTAGTCAAATCTTGCTATGCACATGAGGTATTTTACAATATACTTGAGTGAATATCCTTTTTCTCTTGTCTTTCTTTATTCTTCTGTTGTATTATATTAACTCTCAAATCAATATCATCTGTTGCTTTCTTTTTACCTTCTCAATCTACAACAAAAAATGTTCATTATAACATTGACTGGATACAGAAGTTGTATTAATAGTCAAAGATTATAATTTAAATTCCAGTTTAAAAAATCTTATGACAGCCACCCTGACCATACTACTGGACCGATTTACACACCGGTTGTACCAAAAGAAAGGTTATCTGGCCTATATATGCAGGTTTTATTTGTATTTTTAGAGTATTTTAATTGGGTTGAAAATGGAAATTCAGATTTTCTTATGGAGATTAAACATGGGGCTAGTTCTATACAGGGTGATCAACTCAAGGAGGCCACCATTGGGATATCGAAAACGGTAAGAATTAGAGAAAACTTTAAATGGGGGACATTCTTTTTTTTTTTGTGGCAGTTAAAAATATGATTTTATTTTTTTGAAATTCAGCCGCCATTTTCCAAAATGGCGGTCAACTTTGAAATTTCTTATGGAACACCCTATATTTTATCATGTTTTCGGATAGAACAGGCAATTTAAAAACTTTTTTATTCCTGACATTTTTACGATAAACCCACTCGTTTAGGAGTTACAGCCTTTGGAAAAATGACTTCCGGTGTACATTTTACATCATGTAGCTCCTAAACAAGTAGGTTTATAGCGAAAATGCGATGAGTAAATAAGTCAAAGAAGTCTTAATATTGCATCCACATTCCATAAAGACCATAAAATACACAGTTTTCCACTTTTCAAGTTTGCCGCCATTTTGGAAAATGGCTGCCATTTTTAAAATAATAGAATTAATAGTTTTAACGAATTTTATGATCTTTTTGGAATGTGGATGCAATTTTAAGACTTATTTGACATATTTACTTTTCGAATTTTCGCTATAAACCTACTTGTTTAGGAGCTACATGATGTAAAATGTACACCGGAAGTCATTTTTCCAAAGGCTGTAACTCCTAAACGAGTGGGTTTATCGAAAAAATGTCAGGAATAAAAAAGTTTTTAAATTGCCTGTTCATTCGAAATTCGAAAACATGATAAAATATAGGGTGTTCTATAAGAAATTTCAAAGTTGGCCACCATTTTGGAAAATGGCGGCTGAATTTCGAAAAAATAAAATCATATTTTTAACTGCCACAAAAAATAAAGGAATGTGCCCCATTTAAAGTTTTCTCTAATTCTTACCGTTTCCAATATCCCAATGGTGGCCTCCTTGAGTTGATCACCCTGTATATATGGACAAGCATGTTTAGTTTAAATGTTTTTTCTCAGCTCCTATGCATCGCAGGGAAAATCTACACATACTGTTAGAAATACATTTGCCTGTAGATGTGCAAAATCTCTTTATAAATTAACTAAAAAACTATAAATTAAGACTAAAAAATTATTGGAAAAATTTAATGTAAAATTTAGAAAAATTACACATTACGCATTATTGGGCATTATGGGTTGCCATTTGGTTATGAAATAGACCAATTTAATTTCTTGTGATTAATGAGAATAGTCGCTTGTAGGGACACGACACAAGTCCCTAAAACGTTAAAATGTAAAACAAATTATTTTAATATTCAAACAAACTCAGAATCAAATTATCTATGCCTCTACAGTAGCATATTAGGCCAATACTTTTCTATTATCAATGCTACATCTGCTTCTTGTAAAAGAGATATATACTTTTATATAAAGTATATAAAGTGAATGGCAGGCCTGGTTCACTTAAATGAAATGTCTATTTACAAGTTCTAAAGTCAATGGTACGTCTGGTTCACATAAACAAATTTTACTTGCAGAATCTGAAATAATGGTACATTTAATTCACGTAAATGAACTGTCTACTTGCAGTATTCAAAGTCAGTGGTAGGCTCACTTAAATAGAATGTCTATTTGCAGTATTCAAAGTCAATGATACGTCAGATTCATGTAAACGAATTGTTTACTTGCAGTATCCAAACTTTTTGGTACATTTGGTTAACGTAAATAAACTGTTTCCTTGCAGTATCCAAACCTTTTGGTACATTTGGTTAACGTAAATAAACTGTTTACTTGCATTATCCTAAGTCCTGTGGTATTATTGGTTCACATTAATGGAATTCCTTTTTGCAATACCTATTCCAAGTCTGCATTAATGGTACTGTGTGTCTAGTTCACATAAACAGAGAGTTTACTTACAGTATCCAAACTCAATGGTAGGCCTATATTTGGTGCACATAAATGAAATGGCTATTTGGAGTATTTAAGGCAATGTAGCATCAGCGTCAGCCTAATTCTGGCGACCCTAATGACTATTCATTTGTAGTAAATTATGCTCAATGATTCCCAATGATGCCCAATTTTTCTTAGCTTTTACTCTTTAAGGTATTGTCAATGTGCTATTTTAGATGATTTGTTGACTAACATATCTTGTGATTCTTGATTACCTTTTCATTTATCTTGCAACAAATACTGTCATGGCGACCAGATAACTCATAAGGCCCATTTTAAATTTCAAAATGTTAAAATTCACGTAGGGAAGGCTCTGTGGTGCGATTTGAACTATTTCAGATTTATAGCTTCCCATGGTTGGTTACCATGACTGTGTTAAATTTTGTGCAGATTGCTTCAGCCACTCAGGAGGAGTATTTGTAAAACATAAGTAGTAGTTAGTGTAGTATAAGAGCTTCCTTCCGCTAAATAACAGAAACAAAATTTTGTCTACCCCAGTGATTAGTGTGGATGTACATGAAGTACCTGTTGTCGCAGGAATGTCATGTTTCCTTTAAACTAGATCTTCTAATCCTTAATAAGATTCGTCGATTAACAATGCATGTAAAAGTTTTCACATAGCAGCCAATTTACAGTATTTGCTTTTTGGAAATGCAGTATGCTATGTGACGCTCAGCGCCACTATTTTATATAGTGCCACACAACTAAATCGCTGGCCTTGCGATCGGCGCGCCTCCTTCGGTCTGCCGCTTGCCTTTTTTTCGAGAAACGTCAAGGAGCTACGAAATCGAGTTTTCCTCGGTCTTGTCTGTCGCCGGCCTCCGTCCCCTTCGTTGGATTTTCTGATTGTCCGTTTACTGAGATCGACATGCCTTCGTTTTATCAGGATGGGTCTATAATTAATTATTAAGTAGAGCTAAGACCAGGATGATAGGCTAGTTTAATTATTTAAGGGGAAGCCGGCAGGCTTTCGCCCCATTCGCAGAAATGTAAATTCCAAATTATATGATTACCTCGCTTAACGAGGTAATCATTCCTAGACATGCAAAAATCACCACGTTGAAGGCTTAAGTATCAATTCTTTCAGGAATCGCCTTATGAGTCCAAATTGATTCAGTAATGAGTTAGGGAGTGATATTTACCTGTTTTTTATTCATTACCATTTACACTATCTACCAGTTTAGTTTGGAAGGTTAGCTATAGTTCTTTTAAATAGTTAAAAATAAGTAATCAAAGCTGGCTTGGCCTGCTTCTGGTCTGGGTAAAGATTTCCGCCCTCTGGTTCCCCAACAACGTTTCCAATTTAATTGTCATTTCAAGATGGTAGTAGAGTACAGCACTTTCTTAATTGCAACATGTTAGGGTCCTCCAGGCCCTAACACCCACAACAGCCAATTACCAACACATTTCACTTAATTACAATCAATACATCACATCACCACAGAATCAATAATCAGTTTTCACACCATCAATCTCACCAAAGGGCCACAGCTATGTTATTTGCATTATTTGTTGCCAATAAAGCCGTACAAACATATGATTGTGGCCTCTAACAGTTCAAGAATAAAATCCAGGTTCACTACAAGTATATTCCACTAAACCTAAAACATTCCAAAAAGAGATTATGTTAACAACTTCGTGTAATTGATAAGGCTTAATCAACTGACATTCACATGTCAAGGAATTGCAACTTTAACAGCAAACATAATAGCAGATTTCTCAAAATTATGCTATAGTTCGGCCGCTTAGAAAGCGACCTCCTCCAGCATTGGTTTAGCATTAGCGCGCAGGTAGTTTTCCAAGCGGGCGAACAATAGTGGATAATTCATTGTCATAAGTTATTTTATTAGTACTTAAGTAAGGTATGATGACCGATGTGAAGGGAAAAATTAAAACTTACATAGCTTAAGGTATACCTCCATTTGAAGTAAGAACATGCCTTCTAAACAGATATTTTTCACAAATAAAAAAATAGATTTAATTTGCCTTGCACTGACGAAATTGCAGAAGTGTTTACCACAAAAGAACCATCCAAACAATGTTAATACTATCTAAATATTCTTCAAAAGGGAGATGAAACCAGTTAACATAGTAGGTCTAATAATAACTCCAATAACGTACTGGAAATATTTTATTCTTTGAATAATAAAACCAGAAAACATAATATCTTATAACTTGCACAATAGTCATTATTATTTTTGAAACTTATTTACTACCCATTAAACAAAGCCAAATGTAAAGGTTTGATAATATAACTCTATTTGTCGCTGTTACATGAATTGGCATAAGCCTTGAAATTAGCCATCAATTTCAACGGGTTTCACCTATTATTAAATAAAATATTATTATTAGACAGGTAAAAGTTTCTTAAAACACTTAACCTGTACTAAATATTATACATATAGTTTTACAATGACATCAATATATGACAAAACAAAAAAGTAATCATGCATAAAGAAATTTTAACAAAAGAAAATAACTTACATTTTGAACTGTACAAATAATCTCTCTCTATCACACACACACACACACACCAAAGCACACTAGTCAGAGACTAACCATGTACAAGGCCCTATGACAGACCAACTATGACCGTATGTTCAAAATATATTTTTAGCGCTGCCACAACAGGGAATGATTATCAAGGTATTTTATTCCCATCTTTATTCCCGGTTATTTTCTAATATAGCCGTTGAGGTTATTCCACTTCATACAAAATATTGATTCAACAGTACAATAAGCATAAAATTAAGAGTTAAAGAATTAACATTATTACAGTATGTAGATGTTGTGAACATATATATTTGAATATTAAAACAAAGCTGAAGTATTAATTTTTAAAAATTACTGTGCCTTTTATCAAGTTTTATGATAAAAAGTTTGCACCCTCATTTTTTTGCCATTCTAAGTTGAATTCCTTTGATTTAAACCATCTTTCATGATTCTACTACTTATTATACGCTTAACTTATTTACACAAAAATGCACTAATTTGTAAATTGCACGGTAAAATAATTGATTTAAATATTCTTAGGCATAACAAAAAAGTCTTAACGATAGGTAACATTATCTCTCCTGGTTTTATATAGTATTTATAAATTAAAGGAGTAGGCAGTATCTAATCTTTAATCTATGATAGTATACACATACATTGATACAGTACATTGCAGAATTGACTGCCAAAAAAGTGATCAAAATGTTAATATTGGCATAGACAAATTGCGTACTGGCTTAATGATAAATCACAATCAGCTTTACTGAAGACCAGAGAATAGACCTTTATTGAAGTAAACAAAACAAACATCATCTGTAAATGGCTTCTAATGCTATTCTTATGGAGAACATTATACGTTATTTTAACTACAGTATTTTGTGTAAACATTTTGGGGATTTCACTATTTTACCGCTGTCATGGGATTAAAGTTGTGTAATATTCATTTTGATAAGACTTATTACATCTAAAACTTTTTAAAAGTAATTGTAATACAAGTAAAATAATGTTATCCTTTTTGAAATTTGTTTAAATTAAGCATAAACTACAGTACATAAAGAAATACCAATCTGGTCTTTATTAGGACAGCCCATTGTCCTGCGTATCATTTGAGTACAGCTAAAATGAATCAAGGACTTTTTTAAACTGTAGTACAATCTACAGTAATTTACTTAATCATCCAGAATTTTTTTTCATGCTATCATATGATTTTTCTAATAAAAGCTTATTTAAAAAAATGTTAATATATTTTTTTATATATACTATCAGACGTTCCATCCCCATGTTAAAGTTGTAGATAGGTTTTTAATAAAATTTGTCTTAGTTGATGTGAGCCACCTACAGATTGCGCTGATCTAAATTACTGATTTCTGCCAATAACATGATGGTTTTTACCAAGTCAAACTGATGGAATGACTTATTATGAACTATAGCAACTGTTGTGACCCAGCAACTATGTCAGTAATGAAAATTAAGGTACAAAATAGAGTTTTAGACTCTAGCGCAATCTGTGACTGGCTCACACAACTATATTCTTTTTTAGTAAAAAATTGGCAACAGCTGATCCATATAGATGGGATGTCTTCTTCTGTATCCAATAGTCAATGATACTATATAAAAGTTTGACAAATAGTGTTTTTGGCGTCTAGGGACATCAAAATATCAAAGTAAAAGAGTATATGGGTTCTGGGTCCTAAGTTCATTTTCTAAGAAACTGGGAAATTCTGAAAAGCGCCAACAGTATACGGCCGAGCATCTATTCACTTAACAGAAATCTATTGGTTCTCTTATAAAGCTGTTGTACGATAAAAATATACCCCCGCCGCAGCAAACCTGCAGACTAAGCGAATTTCAACTTGTCTGATTACATTTTTACTAAAATATTTCCATAAATAATACATATTTATTCCCTATTTAAATAACATTAGATTTAACGAGTGCTTAGATTTGCTGCTACGGGGAAGGAAAAAGTGTTTTTTGACCATATGTCAATAGTATAGGATAAAATAAATAAATTTTTTTCTCCATAAGAATAACATTGGAATTTTAAATTACACTATTTTTGTATTTTCTCTGTGACCGTTAGGCATACAACAGCGATTCAATATACTAAATTATTTCTTTTTTTTAAGCTCTACATAACGGTTTAAAAAGAAATTGCAAAATTTTTTGTTTTTTGGGGTCAAAAATGGGAAAACCCCATTTTTACCCTATAAAACCCCCCATAAACCCCCGTTTCCATGGTTCCTATGGTCCGACTATCCTGGATTGTGAAGTCGTTCGACTTAACGTAGGTTTACACGTTTGTACCAAATTTCATCAAGCTCCATTCTGTACAAAATGCGCAATATCAACAAAGTTATTTTGATTGATTGATTGATGAGCGAATTTTCATTTACCGTACCTGATTGGATTTTCAATTAAAATCAAATCTATTAAATTTACATAGGTTTACCAGGTACCTACTTATAAGGTAAATATTTCTCTTTGCTCTCTCTTTGCTGCATGAACAAATGAATGCCTATTCATATCCCATTTGGTTCTAAAGGATTTTCCACATGTACTGCAATTGTAAGGCCTCTCTCCTGTATGAACCAATAAATGTCTCTTCATATTAATTTTGTATGTTAAGGATTTTCCACATGTACTGCACTTGTAAGGCCTCTCTCCTGTATGAACCAATAAATGTCTCTTCATATGGATTTTGGATGTAAAGGATTTTCCACATGTACTGCACTTGTAAGGACTCTCTCCTGTGTGACCTAATGAATGATTTTTCATATTGATTTTGGATGTAAAGGATTTTCCACATGTACTGCACTTGTAAGGACTCTCTCCTGTGTGAACCAATGAATGATTTTTCATACTATATTTGGATGTAAAGGATTTTCCACATGTACTGCACTTGTAAGGACTCTCTCTTGTGTGAACCAATGAATGACTCTTCATATTTCCTTTGGATTTAAAGGATTTTCCACATGTAATGCACATGTAAGGTCTCTCTCCTGTGTGAACCAATGAATGATTTACCATTTCGATTTTTGATGCAAAGGATTTTCCACATGCAGTACACTTATAAGGTCTCTCTCCTGTATGAACCAATGAATGAGCCTTCACATTGCTTTTAGATGTAAAGGATTTCCCACATGTACTGCACTTATAAGGTGTCTCTCCTGTATGAACCATTAAATGTTTCTTCAAATCCCATTTGAATTTAAAGGGTTTCCCACATATACTGCACTTATAAGGTGTCTCTCCTTTATGAACCATTAAATGTGTCTTCATAATCCATTTGAATTTGAAGGATTTCCCACATATACTGCACTTATAAGGTGTCTCTCCTGTGTGAACCATTAAATGCTTCTTCATAACCCATTTGCTTTTAAAGGGTTTCCCACATATACTGCACTTATAAGGTGTCTCTCCTGTGTGAACCATTAAATGTTTCTTCATAACCCATTTGAATTTAAAGGGTTTCCCACATATACTGCACTTATAAGGTGTCTCTCCTGTGTGAACCAATGAATGTCTCTTCATATTGCCTTTGGATGTAAAGGATTTCCCACATGTACTGCACTCATAAGGTGTCTCTCCTGTGTGAACCATTAAATGTCTCTTCATAACCCGTTTGAATTGAAAGGTTTTTTCACATGTACTGCACTTGTAAGGCCTCTCTCCTGTATGAACCAAAGAATGTTCGTTCATCTTGCCCTTGGATGTAAAGGATTTCCCACATATAGCACACTTATAAGGACACTTCCTATAGTGTATCAACAAATGACTATTTACTTGATGTAGTTGGAAAAAGGTTTTTTCACATGTCAAACATTTAAAAGGACGCTCTCCCGTGTGATATAATATATGAATCTTCATTGATCGTCGAGATGAACAACTTTGCTCACATATTGGACACTTGAGAGGAACATTTTTTCTTCGAGTTAACATTTCCATTCTCTCAGTTTTAATATTTGTGAAATTTACCACAAAATCTAATTACTTATCAGAAAAATCAACAAATCAGAGAAATATTTAAATAGTAACCTTGTTTGAAGGACATGTTAAATGTAGAGCAGTTATAATTGGCTACCTCTTTCATTTAATATTGACTCGTCCTGTAGTCAAATCTTGCTATGCACATGAGGTATTTTACAATATACTTGAGTGATTATCCTTTTTCTCTTGTCTTTCTTTATTCTTCTGTTGTATTTTATTAACTCTCAAATCAATATCATCTGTTGATTTCTTTTTACCTTCTCAACCTACAACAAAAAATGTTCATTATAACATTTACTACTGGATACAGAAGTTGTTTTAAAAAACAAAGATTATAATTTTAATTCCAGTTTTAAAAATCTTATACATTAAGAAATGTTTTAAAAACTTATGACAGCCACCCTGACCTAATTACTGGACCGATTTACACACGGGTTGTACCAAAAGAAATGTTATCTGACCTATATGTGCAGGTTTATTTGTATTTTTAGAGTATTTTAATTGGGTTGAAAATGGAAATTCAGATTTTCTTATGGATATTAAACATAGGGCTAGTTCTATATATGTGGACAATCATGTTTAGTTTAAACCTTTTTTTCAGCTCCTATGCATAACAGGGAAAATCTTTACATACTGTTAGAAATATATTTGTCTGTTGTAGATGTGCAGAATCCCTTTATAAATTAACTAAAAAACTATAAATTAGACTAAAAAATAATTACAAAAATTGAATTTAAAATTTTAAAAAATTACACATTATGCATTATGGGTGTCCATGTTGGTGATGAAATACACCAATTTCATTTCTTGTGATTAATGAGAATAGTCGCTTGTAGGGACACAAGTCCTTAAAAAGTTCAAATGTAAAACAAATTATTTTAATATTCAAGCCCAAAAGTAAAATTATCTATGTGTCAGGATATGCCTCTACAGTAGCATATTAAGCCAATACTTTTCTAGTGTCAATGCTACATCTGCTTTTTGTAAACGAGATATATACTTTTATATAAAGTATATAAAGTGAATGGCAGGCCTGGTTCACTTAAATGAAATGTCTATTTACAAGTTCTAAAGTCAATGGTACATTTAATTCACGTAAATGAACTGTCTACTTGCAGTATCCAAAGTCAGTAGTAGGCTCACTTCTGGTTCATTTAAATAGAATGTCTATTTGCAGTATTCAAAGTCAATAATACGTAAGATTCACGTAAACGAATTGTTTACTTGCAGTATCCAAACTTTTTGGTACATTTGGTTAACGTAAATAAACTGTTTCCTTGCAGTATCCAAACTTAATGATTTTACTTGCAGAATCCAAAATAATGGTACATTTAATTCACGTAAATGAACTGTCTACTTGCAGTATCCAAAGTCAGTGGTAGGCTCACTTAAGTAGAATGTCTATTTGCACTATTCGAAGTCAATGATACGTCAGATTCATGTAGGCTAAACGAATTGTTTACTTGCAGTATCCAAACTTTTTGGTACATTTGGTTAACGTAAATAAACTGTTTCCTTGCAGTATCCAAACCTTTTGGTACATTTGGTTAACGTAAATAAACTGTTTACTTGCATTATCCTAAGTCCTGTGGTATTATTGGTTCACATTAATGGAATTCCTTTTTGCAATACCTATTCCAAGTCTGCATTAATGGTACTGTGTGTCTAGTTCACATAAACAGAGAGTTTACTTACAGTATCCAAACTCAATGGTAGGCCTATATTTGGTGCACATAAATGAAATGGCTATTTGGAGTATTTAAGGCAATGTAGCATCAGCGTCAGCCTAATTCTGGCGACCCTAATGACTATTCATTTGTAGTAAATTATGCTCAATGATTCCCAATGATGCCCAATTTTTCTTAGCTTTTACTCTTTAAGGTATTGTCAATGTGCTATTTTAGATGATTTGTTGACTAACATATCTTGTGATTCTTGATTACCTTTTCATTTATCTTGCAACAAATACTGTCATGGCGACCAGATAACTCATAAGGCCCATTTTAAATTTCAAAATGTTAAAATTCACGTAGGGAAGGCTCTGTGGTGCGATTTGAACTATTTCAGATTTATAGCTTCCCATGGTTGGTTACCATGACTGTGTTAAATTTTGTGCAGATTGCTTCAGCCACTCAGGAGGAGTATTTGTAAAACATAAGTAGTAGTTAGTGTAGTATAAGAGCTTCCTTCCGCTAAATAACAGAAACAAAATTTTGTCTACCCCAGTGATTAGTGTGGATGTACATGAAGTACCTGTTGTCGCAGGAATGTCATGTTTCCTTTAAACTAGATCTTCTAATCCTTAATAAGATTCGTCGATTAACAATGCATGTAAAAGTTTTCACATAGCAGCCAATTCACAGTATTTGCTTTTTGGAAATGCAGTATGCTATGTGACGCTCAGCGCCACTATTTTATATAGTGCCACACAACTAAATCGCTGGCCTTGCGATCGGTGCGCCTCCTTCGGTCTGCCGCTTGCCTTTTTTTCGAGAAACGTCAAGGAGCTACGAAATCGAGTTTTCCTCGGTCTTGTCTGTCGCCGGCCTCCGTCCCCTTCGTTGGATTTTCTGATTGTCCGTTTACTGAGATCGACATGCCTTCGTTTTATCAGGATGGGTCTATAATTAATTATTAAGTAGAGCTAAGACCAGGATGATAGGCTAGTTTAATTATTTAAGGGGAAGCCGGCAGGCTTTCGCCCCATTCGCAGAAATGTAAATTTCAAATTATATGATTACCTCGCTTAACGAGGTAATCATTCCTAGACATGCAAAAATCACCACGTTGAAGGCTTAAGTATCAATTCTTTCAGGAATCGCCTTATGAGTCCAAATTGATTCAGTAATGAGTTAGGGAGTGATATTTACCTGTTTTTTATTCATTACCATTTACACTATCTACCAGTTTAGTTTGGAAGGTTAGCTATAGTTCTTTTAAATAGTTAAAAATAAGTAATCAAAGCTGGCTTGGCCTGCTTCTGGTCTGGGTAAAGATTTCCGCCCTCTGGTTCCCCAACAACGTTTCCAATTTAATTGTCATTTCAAGATGGTAGTAGAGTACAGCACTTTCTTAATTGCAACATGTTAGGGTCCTCCAGGCCCTAATACCCACAACAGCCAATTACCAACACATTTCACTTAATTACAATCAATACATCACATCACCACAGAATCAATAATCAGTTTTCACACCATCAATCTCACCAAAGGGCCACAGCTATGTTATTTGCATTATTTGTTGCCAATAAAGCCGTACAAACATATGATTGTGGCCTCTAACAGTTCAAGAATAAAATCCAGGTTCACTACAAGTATATTCCACTAAACCTAAAACATTACAAAAACAGATTATGTTAACAACTTCGTGTAATTGATAAGGCTTAATCAACTGACATTCACATGTCAAGGAATTGCAACTTTAACAGCAAACATAATAGCAGATTTCTCAAAATTATGCTATAGTTTGGCCGCTTAGAAAGCGACCTCCTCCAGCATTGGTTTAGCATTAGCGCGCAGGTAGTTTTCCAAGCGGGCGAACAATAGTGGATAATTCATTGTCATAAGTTATTTTATTAGTACTTAAGTAAGGTATGATGACCGATGTGAAGGGAAAAATTAAAACTTACATAGCTTAAGGTATACCTCCATTTGAAGTAAGAACATGCCTTCTAAACAGATATTTTTCACAAATGAAAAAATAGATTTAATTTGCCTTGCACTGACGAAATTGCAGAAGTGTTTACCACAAAAGAACCATCCAAACAATGTTAATACTATCTAAATATTCTTCAAAAGGGAGATGAAACCAGTTAACATAGTAGGTCTAATAATAACTCCAATAACGTACTGGAAATATTTTATTCTTTGAATAATAAAACCAGAAAACATAATATCTTATAACTTGCACAATAGTCATTATTATTTTTGAAACTTATTTACTACCCATTAAACAAAGCCAAATGTAAAGGTTTGATAATATAACTCTATTTGTCGCTGTTACATGAATTGGCATAAGCCTTGAAATTAGCCATCAATTTCAACGGGTTTCACCTATTATTAAATAAAATATTATTATTAGACAGGTAAAAGTTTCTTAAAACACTTAACCTGTACTAAATATTATACATATAGTTTTACAATGACATCAATATATGACAAAACAAAAAAGTAATCATGCATAAAGAAATTTTAACAAAAGAAAATAACTTACATTTTGAACTGTACAAATAATCTCTCTCTATCACACACACACACACACACCAAAGCACACTAGTCAGAGACTAACCATGTACAAGGCCCTATGACAGACCAACTATGACCGTATGTTCAAAATATATTTTTAGCGCTGCCACAACAGGGAATGATTATCAAGGTATTTTATTCCCATCTTTATTCCCGGTTATTTTCTAATATAGCCGTTGAGGTTATTCCACTTCATACAAAATATTGATTCAACAGTACAATAAGCATAAAATTAAGAGTTAAAGAATTAACATTATTACAGTATGTAGATGTTGTGAACATATATATTTGAATATTAAAACAAAGCTGAAGTATTAATTTTTAAAAATTACTGTGCCTTTTATCAAGTTTTATGATAAAAAGTTTGCACCCTCATTTTTTTGCCATTCTAAGTTGAATTCCTTTGATTTAAACCATCTTTCATGATTCTACTACTTATTATACGCTTAACTTATTTACACAAAAATGCACTAATTTGTAAATTGCACGGTAAAATAATTGATTTAAATATTCTTAGGCATAACAAAAAAGTCTTAACGATAGGTAACATTATCTCTCCTGGTTTTATATAGTATTTATAAATTAAAGGAGTAGGCAGTATCTAATCTTTAATCTATGATAGTATACACATACATTGATACAGTACATTGCAGAATTGACTGCCAAAAAAGTGATCAAAATGTTAATATTGGCATAGACAAATTGCGTACTGGCTTAATGATAAATCACAATCAGCTTTACTGAAGACCAGAGAATAGACCTTTATTGAAGTAAACAAAACAAACATCATCTGTAAATGGCTTCTAATGCTATTCTTATGGAGAACATTATACGTTATTTTAACTACAGTATTTTGTGTAAACATTTTGGGGATTTCACTATTTTACCGCTGTCATGGGATTAAAGTTGTGTAATATTCATTTTGATAAGACTTATTACATCTAAAACTTTTTAAAAGTAATTGTAATACAAGTAAAATAATGTTATCCTTTTTGAAATTTGTTTAAATTAAGCATAAACTACAGTACATAAAGAAATACCAATCTGGTCTTTATTAGGACAGCCCATTGTCCTGCGTATCATTTGAGTACAGCTAAAATGAATCAAGGACTTTTTTAAACTGTAGTACAATCTACAGTAATTTACTTAATCATCCAGAATTTTTTTTCATGCTATCATATGATTTTTCTAATAAAAGCTTATTTAAAAAAATGTTAATATATTTTTTTATATATACTATCAGACGTTCCATCCCCATGTTAAAGTTGTAGATAGGTTTTTAATAAAATTTGTCTTAGTTGATGTGAGCCACCTACAGATTGCGCTGATCTAAATTACTGATTTCTGCCAATAACATGATGGTTTTTACCAAGTCAAACTGATGGAATGACTTATTATGAACTATAGCAACTGTTGTGACCCAGCAACTATGTCAGTAATGAAAATTAAGGTACAAAATAGAGTTTTAGACTCTAGCGCAATCTGTGACTGGCTCACACAACTATATTCTTTTTTAGTAAAAAATTGGCAACAGCTGATCCATATAGATGGGATGTCTTCTTCTGTATCCAATAGTCAATGATACTATATAAAAGTTTGACAAATAGTGTTTTTGGCGTCTAGGGACATCAAAATATCAAAGTAAAAGAGTATATGGGTTCTGGGTCCTAAGTTCATTTTCTAAGAAACTGGGAAATTCTGAAAAGCGCCAACAGTATACGGCCGAGCATCTATTCACTTAACAGAAATCTATTGGTTCTCTTATAAAGCTGTTGTACGATAAAAATATACCCCCGCCGCAGCAAACCTGCAGACTAAGCGAATTTCAACTTGTCTGATTACATTTTTACTAAAATATTTCCATAAATAATACATATTTATTCCCTATTTAAATAACATTAGATTTAACGAGTGCTTAGATTTGCTGCTACGGGGAAGGAAAAAGTGTTTTTTGACCATATGTCAATAGTATAGGATAAAATAAATAAATTTTTTTCTCCATAAGAATAACATTGGAATTTTAAATTACACTATTTTTGTATTTTCTCTGTGACCGTTAGGCATACAACAGCGATTCAATATACTAAATTATTTCTTTTTTTTAAGCTCTACATAACGGTTTAAAAAGAAATTGCAAAATTTTTTGTTTTTTGGGGTCAAAAATGGGAAAACCCCATTTTTACCCTATAAAACCCCCCATAAACCCCCGTTTCCATGGTTCCTATGGTCCGACTATCCTGGATTGTGAAGTCGTTCGACTTAACGTAGGTTTACACGTTTGTACCAAATTTCATCAAGCTTGCCTGACAGCTGACAATTTAAAAAATATAACTAATTTTAATTCATTGAAAAACGTTTGAAAATATTTCTCCACAACAGACCCTTGTATAAATTAGAAGATTTTTCCCAACTTCCTGAAATTTGATTTTTTGATAGTAACAGTCTTAAGTTTAATATTGTGTTTTTATAACTGACTCCATTCTGTACAAAATGCGCAATATCAACAAAGTTATTTTGATTGATTGATTGATGAGCGAATTTTCATTTACCGTACCTGATTGGATTTTCAATTAAAATCAAATCTATTAAATTTACATAGGTTTACCAGGTACCTACTTATAAGGTAAATATTTCTCTTTGCTCTCTCTTTGCTGTATGAACAAATGAATGCCTATTCATATCCCATTTGGTTCTAAAGGATTTTCCACATGTACTGCAATTGTAAGGCCTCTCTCCTGTATGAACCAATAAATGTCTCTTCATATTAATTTTGTATGTTAAGGATTTTCCACATGTACTGCACTTGTAAGGCCTCTCTCCTGTATGAACCAATAAATGTCTCTTCATATGGATTTTGGATGTAAAGGATTTTCCACATGTACTGCACTTGTAAGGACTCTCTCCTGTGTGACCTAATGAATGATTTTTCATATTGATTTTGGATGTAAAGGATTTTCCACATGTACTGCACTTGTAAGGACTCTCTCCTGTGTGAACCAATGAATGATTTTTCATACTATATTTGGATGTAAAGGATTTTCCACATGTACTGCACTTGTAAGGACTCTCTCTTGTGTGAACCAATGAATGACTCTTCATATTTCCTTTGGATTTAAAGGATTTTCCACATGTAATGCACATGTAAGGTCTCTCTCCTGTGTGAACCAATGAATGATTTACCATTTCGATTTTTGATGCAAAGGATTTTCCACATGCAGTACACTTATAAGGTCTCTCTCCTGTATGAACCAATGAATGAGCCTTCATATTGCTTTTAGATGTAAAGGATTTCCCACATGTACTGCACTTATAAGGTGTCTCTCCTGTATGAACCATTAAATGTTTCTTCAAATCCCATTTGAATTTAAAGGGTTTCCCACATATACTGCACTTATAAGGTGTCTCTCCTTTATGAACCATTAAATGTGTCTTCATAATCCATTTGAATTTGAAGGATTTCCCACATATACTGCACTTATAAGGTGTCTCTCCTGTGTGAACCATTAAATGCTTCTTCATAACCCATTTGCTTTTAAAGGGTTTCCCACATATACTGCACTTATAAGGTGTCTCTCCTGTGTGAACCATTAAATGTTTCTTCATAACCCATTTGAATTTAAAGGGTTTCCCACATATACTGCACTTATAAGGTGTCTCTCCTGTGTGAACCAATGAATGTCTCTTCATATTGCCTTTGGATGTAAAGGATTTCCCACATGTACTGCACTCATAAGGTGTCTCTCCTGTGTGAACCATTAAATGTCTCTTCATAACCCGTTTGAATTGAAAGGTTTTTTCACATGTACTGCACTTGTAAGGCCTCTCTCCTGTATGAACCAAAGAATGTTCGTTCATCTTGCCCTTGGATGTAAAGGATTTCCCACATATAGCACACTTATAAGGACACTTCCTATAGTGTATCAACAAATGACTATTTACTTGATGTAGTTGGAAAAAGGTTTTTTCACATGTCAAACATTTAAAAGGACGCTCTCCCGTGTGATATAATATATGAATCTTCATTGATCGTCGAGATGAACAACTTTGCTCACATATTGGACACTTGAGAGGAACATTTTTTCTTCGAGTTAACATTTCCATTCTCTCAGTTTTAATATTTGTGAAATTTACCACAAAATCTAATTACTTATCAGAAAAATCAACAAATCAGAGAAATATTTAAATAGTAACCTTGTTTGAAGGACATGTTAAATGTAGAGCAGTTATAATTGGCTACCTCTTTCATTTAATATTGACTCGTCCTGTAGTCAAATCTTGCTATGCACATGAGGTATTTTACAATATACTTGAGTGATTATCCTTTTTCTCTTGTCTTTCTTTATTCTTCTGTTGTATTTTATTAACTCTCAAATCAATATCATCTGTTGATTTCTTTTTACCTTCTCAACCTACAACAAAAAATGTTCATTATAACATTTACTACTGGATACAGAAGTTGTTTTAAAAAACAAAGATTATAATTTTAATTCCAGTTTTAAAAATCTTATACATTAAGAAATGTTTTAAAAACTTATGACAGCCACCCTGACCTAATTACTGGACCGATTTACACACGGGTTGTACCAAAAGAAATGTTATCTGACCTATATGTGCAGGTTTATTTGTATTTTTAGAGTATTTTAATTGGGTTGAAAATGGAAATTCAGATTTTCTTATGGATATTAAACATAGGGCTAGTTCTATATATGTGGACAATCATGTTTAGTTTAAACCTTTTTTTCAGCTCCTATGCATAACAGGGAAAATCTTTACATACTGTTAGAAATATATTTGTCTGTTGTAGATGTGCAGAATCCCTTTATAAATTAACTAAAAAACTATAAATTAGACTAAAAAATAATTACAAAAATTGAATTTAAAATTTTAAAAAATTACACATTATGCATTATGGGTGTCCATGTTGGTGATGAAATACACCAATTTCATTTCTTGTGATTAATGAGAATAGTCGCTTGTAGGGACACAAGTCCTTAAAAAGTTCAAATGTAAAACAAATTATTTTAATATTCAAGCCCAAAAGTAAAATTATCTATGTGTCAGGATATGCCTCTACAGTAGCATATTAAGCCAATACTTTTCTAGTGTCAATGCTACATCTGCTTTTTGTAAACGAGATATATACTTTTATATAAAGTATATAAAGTGAATGGCAGGCCTGGTTCACTTAAATGAAATGTCTATTTACAAGTTCTAAAGTCAATGGTACATTTAATTCACGTAAATGAACTGTCTACTTGCAGTATCCAAAGTCAGTAGTAGGCTCACTTCTGGTTCATTTAAATAGAATGTCTATTTGCAGTATTCAAAGTCAATAATACGTAAGATTCACGTAAACGAATTGTTTACTTGCAGTATCCAAACTTTTTGGTACATTTGGTTAAGGTAAATAAACTGTTTCCTTGCAGTATCCAAACTTAATGATTTTACTTGCAGAATCCAAAATAATGGTACATTTAATTCACGTAAATGAACTGTCTACTTGCAGTATCCAAAGTCAGTGGTAGGCTCACTTAAGTAGAATGTCTATTTGCACTATTCGAAGTCAATGATACGTCAGATTCATGTAGGCTAAACGAATTGTTTACTTGCAGTATCCAAACTTTTTGGTACATTTGGTTAACGTAAATAAACTGTTTCCTTGCAGTATCCAAACCTTTTGGTACATTTGGTTAACGTAAATAAACTGTTTACTTGCATTATCCTAAGTCCTGTGGTATTATTGGTTCACATTAATGGAATTCCTTTTTGCAATACCTATTCCAAGTCTGCATTAATGGTACTGTGTGTCTAGTTCACATAAACAGAGAGTTTACTTACAGTATCCAAACTCAATGGTAGGCCTATATTTGGTGCACATAAATGAAATGGCTATTTGGAGTATTTAAGGCAATGTAGCATCAGCGTCAGCCTAATTCTGGCGACCCTAATGACTATTCATTTGTAGTAAATTATGCTCAATGATTCCCAATGATGCCCAATTTTTCTTAGCTTTTACTCTTTAAGGTATTGTCAATGTGCTATTTTAGATGATTTGTTGACTAACATATCTTGTGATTCTTGATTACCTTTTCATTTATCTTGCAACAAATACTGTCATGGCGACCAGATAACTCATAAGGCCCATTTTAAATTTCAAAATGTTAAAATTCACGTAGGGAAGGCTCTGTGGTGCGATTTGAACTATTTCAGATTTATAGCTTCCCATGGTTGGTTACCATGACTGTGTTAAATTTTGTGCAGATTGCTTCAGCCACTCAGGAGGAGTATTTGTAAAACATAAGTAGTAGTTAGTGTAGTATAAGAGCTTCCTTCCGCTAAATAACAGAAACAAAATTTTGTCTACCCCAGTGATTAGTGTGGATGTACATGAAGTACCTGTTGTCGCAGGAATGTCATGTTTCCTTTAAACTAGATCTTCTAATCCTTAAAAAGATTCGTTGATTAACAATGCATGTAAAAGTTTTCACATAGCAGCCAATTTACAGTATTTGCTTTTTGGAAATGCAGCATTGCTATGTTATTTGCATTCGTGAAAGGACTTTCGCTTGCTGTAGTGCAGATTTGAATCCTTCAGTGCAATCTTGAGCGATCCAGGACGGCTGACGCACTTCTATGTCAGCTTGCCCTAGAACACGATGTCGACGCGCTCTTAGTCAGCGAACAGTACCAGTACCGTGATAGGGACCCATCTTTTTGGTTCCCTGATAGTCTTGGTACTGCTGCATTCTGGGCGCGTAATGCAGCGAAAGTACAAGTACGGGGTCACGCGAAGGGCCGAGGTTTCGTTTGGGTTCGGTGCCGGGATGTCACTTACTTTAGTGTCTACCTCACTCCCAACGAGGCCATCCGTGAATTTCGTGAGAAGATAGACCGCCTGGAAGAGAACGTGCGCAATACCACAGGACACGTCGTCGTGGGTGGGGATTTTAATGCTAGGGCTGTCGAGTGGGGAATGACCCTCACCAATTCCCGGGGCAAGTACATTCTGGACTTTGCTGCCAGAGCCGGACTCGTTGTCGTCAACGAGGGAAACACGCCAACTTTCCGGCGCCCTGGGATGCGGGGAACGATCCCAGACATAACCCTTGCATCTGAGTTCCTTTTGCCAAGGATCAGAGCCTGGAGAGTTCTGGACGATTACACGGGCAATGACCACCAGTACATTATTTTTGATGTCCTGGATAGTCATCAGAGACAAGTAGCCGCGTTTCGTCAAGTGCCCGTTCGATGGAATATTAAAAAATTGGACGTGGGAAAATTCAATGAAGCCATCTTACGAGGAGCACCGGTGGTTCCCCCCGCAACTAGCGTGGCTCATGCAGAGGTGTTAGTTACATCCATGATGGGACTAATCGTCTCCGCTTGCGATGAGTCTATGCCTCGCGGAAGATCCCGGTGCAACAAGCGACCTGTGTACTGGTGGACTGCCGAGATTGCGGAATTGCGTCGGTCAGCATTGAGAGCCAGAAGACTTGCTACCAGGGCCAGAGAACCTGTAGACAGACGTCGTAAGTCGGATGCTTACAGAGTGGCTAGGAGGTCTCTTCGTCGAGCCATCAACCGGAGTAAACGTAGTTGCTGGGAGACATTAAGGGACGATATCGATTCCAATCCGTGGGGCTTGGGTTACAAACTGGTAACCAAGAAACTTGGCACCCGCTCTCCACCTCCCGTCATGGATGGGGCCACTATGGAGAGGATAGTCGAGTCCCTTTTCCCGGCTCACACGTTGCGCCCACTGCGGGATTTCGGAAGGGTGGATGACGTACCACTTTTCAGTCTTGGAGAGGTGGAGGCGGCCGTCCTATCCCTGAAGAACAATAAGGCTCCTGGACCCGATGGGGTACCCGGCGAAGTTCTCAAAAAGGTTTTGACTATTAACCCCTTGATCCTTTTGCGCATGTACAATGCCTGCCTAGTCGAAGGAGTTTTCCCTTCTTGCTGGAAAACAGCTAGGCTTGTGCTTGTTGGGAAGGGGAAGGGAGACCCAGACCTGCCATCCTCTTACAGACCTCTGTGTATGTTGGATACGGCTGGAAAAGTCCTCGAGAAGTTGATACGTTCCCGACTGAATTCAGCCGTGGTCGCTGCGGGGGACCTGTCCCCTCGGCAGTATGGATTCAGGATGGGGCGATCTACGGTTGACGCTGTTGAAGAGGTGAAGCAAGCCGTGATGAGAGCTGAGGATTTTAACCACTACTCTCGAAGGGTTGTGCTGCTCGTCACTCTCGATGTGCGAAACGCATTTAATTCGGCGAGGTGGTGCGATATGCTGGATGCTCTGGAGAACACCTTCCACGTCCCGGCATACCTCATGCGTATCATGGAGGATTATCTCCGGTTCCGCCTCCTCTTGTATGACACTACAGAGGGCCCACGGACGATGAGTGTCACTTCCGGTGCTGCCCAAGGTTCCATACTCGGCCCGGACCTCTGGAATGTCGCGTATGACAGCCTCCTGAGGTCTGAAATGCCTGAGGAAACTGTTTTGGTTGGGTACGCGGACGACGTTGCAGTTTTGATAGCTGCACGTAGCGTTGAGCTGGCTCAGCTAAAGCTGAACCGAGTTATGCGTACTATAAACGCATGGATGACAGACCACGGTCTCTCGCTTGCTTTGAGCAAAACTGAGATCGTGATATTAACAAAAAACGGATTGACACCATCGTGCCGTTGAGGGTAGGGGCCGTTGAAGTCCAGACCGTTCGTTCTGCCAAGTACCTTGGGATTATGGTTGACAGCAAGCTTAGCTGGCGGGATCAGATTTTCCGCACGGCGGACAAGGCCGCTAGGGTGGTCTCCTCTCTTAGCCGGTTGATGGCCAATGTCGGAGGGCCTCGGTCCAGCCGTAGAAGGCTGTTAATGTCTTCTGTCCAGTCCGTACTCTTGTACGGTGCTGAGGTGTGGGCAGACGCTCTAAATAAGGAGGTATATAGGATGCGGCTTGCCCGAGTGCAGCGTCAGGCAGCACTAAGAGTTGTATCCGCCTACCGAACAGTGTCCGAACCCGCCGTCCTGGTGGTTGCTGGAGTCATCCCCGTCAAACTTTTGGCGGCGGAGAGAAAAGCAATTTATCAGCGCCATGGGGAGGACCAGGCACGAACAGAGGAACGCACCCGCACCTACCAGCTGTGGCAAGAGAGCTGGGAACAGGAGACTCGGGGACGCTGGACCAGGCGACTGATAAAGCAAGTCCAACCTTGGGTTAATCGGCGGTGCGGAGAGGTGGACTTCTACCTCACCCAATTTCTGACGGGTCACGGTTTTTTCCGGTCGTACCTGGGCAATGCCGTGGGGATGGGCAAAGCCGTGTCACCCGATTGCATATACTGCCCAGGCATTCCCGATGACGTGGAACATACCTTTTTCCACTGCCAGCGTTGG